TAACGCAATAGATCGCTAATTCTCTCTCAGTTTGTACCATGACCGGCCACAACCACTATGCCATGTGCGCCCAGTTCCACCCCAAAGAAGATCTTGTGGTATCGGCCTCTCTTGATCAGTCAGTCCGCGTTTGGGATATTTCGGGTCTGCGAAAGAAGCACTCAGCACCGACGTCGATGAGCTACGAAGACCAAATTGCGCGTGCAAACCAAAACCAAACTGATATGTTTGGAAACACAGATGCTGTTGTCAAGTTTGTCCTCGAGGGCCATGATCGTGGTGTCAATTGGGTGGCTTTCCACCCCACTATGCCGTTGATTGTTTCGGCCGGCGATGACCGCCTAGTGAAGCTCTGGCGCATGAGTGAAACCAAAGCTTGGGAAGTAGACACTTGTCGTGGCCATTTCCAGAATGCCTCGGGCTGTCTGTTCCACCCTCACCAAGACCTGATTCTGTCGGCAGGAGAAGACAAAACGATTCGTGTCTGGGATCTCAATAAGAGGACTGCTGTGCAATCCTTTAAGAGGGAAAATGACCGCTTTTGGGTTATCGCAGCTCACCCTGAAATCAATTTGTTCGCAGCTGGCCATGACAATGGTGTCATGGTTTTCAAGTTGGAACGCGAGCGTCCTGCTTCGGCTGTCCACCAAAACACCCTGTTCTACATCACTAAGGAGAAGCACGTCAGGTCGTACGATTTCCAGAAGGATGTGGAAAGCCCGACGCTCCTGTCTCTCAAGAAACTGGGAAGCCCTTGGGTCAGCCCTCGGACACTGTCTTACAACCCTGCTGAGAGATCTATTCTCGTTACCACTCCTAATGATGGTGGCTCTTACGAACTCCTGAATCTGCCTAGAGATGGATCTGGTGTAATTGAGCCTACCGAGTCCAAACGGGGATCAGGAAACTCCGCCATTTTCGTTGCCAGAAATCGCTTCGCTGTCCTCAATGTTGCAAACCAAACCATTGATATCAAAGATCTGTCGAACAACACTGCTCGTTCGTTCAAGCCTCCAACTGGAACTACCGATATATACTTTGGAGGCACTGGTAACCTTCTTATTATTACGCCAACGACTGTGTATCTTTACGATATCCAGCAGAAGAAGAGCACTGCAGAGCTTTCCATCAATGGTGTCAAATACATTGTGTGGTCGAACGATGGCCTTTACGCCGCCTTGTTGAGCAAGCACAACGTGACCATTGTGACAAAGTCTCTCGAGCAGATCAGCACTTTACATGAGACTATCCGCATCAAGAGCGCCACCTGGGATGATGCAGGCATTCTTCTGTACTCGACCTTGAACCATGTTAAATATGCTTTGCTGAACGGCGACAATGGCATCGTCCGGACACTTGACCAGACGGTATACCTTGTCCGCGTCAAGGGCCGAAATGTCTACTGCTTAGATCGAGCAGCAAAGCCTCGTATTCTTCGTATCGACCCAACGGAATATCGCTTCAAAATGGCATTGGTCAAGCGAAACTATGAAGAAATGCTTCACATCATCCGTACTTCTAGTCTTGTGGGCCAGTCCATTATTTCATACCTCCAGAAGAAGGGCTATCCCGAAATCGCGCTGCAATTTGTTCAGGACCCAACGACTCGATTTGACCTGGCAATCGAATGTGGCAATCTAGAAGTTGCTGTGGAGATGGCCAAGGAACTGGACAAGTCGAAGTTCTGGACTCGACTGGGCACCGAAGCATTGGCCCATGGCAACCACCAGATTGTGGAGATGTGCTACCAAAAACTGAAGCAATTCGATAAGCTGTCGTTCCTCTATCTGGCAACAGGTGATCACTCCAAGCTTGCTCGAATGGCCAAGATTGCGGAGCATCGTGGAGATTTCACCTCGCGATTCCAGAATGCCATCTACCTTGGCGATGTGGAAGACCGCATTCAAATGTTGAAGGAAATCGATTTGTGTACGTGAGCTGATCCCCTCTTGCCATTGCATGGAGTACTAACCGTTTCATAGACCCACTTGCGTATACAACGGCCAAATCCCATGGGCTGCAGGAAGAATACGAAGCTATTCTTGAGGCTTCTGGTCTCACAGAAGACCAGCTAACCATGCCCACCATAGGCCAACCGTTGGTACCATCAAAACCTGTGGTGTCGACGTTCAAACGCAACTGGCCCACCAAGGCTAGCTCACAGTCTTACTTCGAAAACGCTCTTCTTGGTCAGGTAGAGGGCTTGTCGCTTGAAGATGAACCAAATCTCGCTAACGGAGCCGACGCTGAGCATGTTGCAAAGGAGGAACCGGCAGGCGGACTCGCTGCTATCCCTGGAGAAGATGACGATGATGCGGCAGGCTGGGATATGGGTGATGACGAGGTTCCTGAAATCGAAAACGACTTTGTGAATGTCGATAGCGCGGAAGCAGGTGGCGCTGGAAGCTGCGAGGCCGATGTCTGGGCACGAAACTCGCCTTTGGCTGTTGATCACGTTGCTGGAGGCTCATTTGAAACGGCCATGCAGCTCTTGAACCGACAAGTTGGCGCAGTCGAATTTGCACCTCTGAAGCCTCGATTCTTGGAAGTGTACCAGTCTTCCAAGACTTTCCTTCCGGCACTTGCCAACTTGCCTCCTCTCGTCAACTACGTTCGCCGTACCGTTGATGAAACGGACCTTCGAAAAGTTCTGCCTATCATCCCACGCGATCTGGAGCATCTGGCCTCCAATGATTTGCAAAGGGGCTACGACTCAATGAAGGCGAATAAGTTGGAAGACGGTGCCCAGATCTTCCAGGGTATCCTTCATGCCATCCTTGTCAATGCAGTTTCCAGCGAGAGCGAAGTGGCGGAGGCAAAGAAACTGATTGTTTCAGCGAGAGAGTACAGCATTGCGATGAACATTGAGCTTGCCAGGAGAAACCTTGGCTCACTTGATGAGATCGCTCAAGACCCCGCGAAACTCAAGAAGAGCTTGGAGCTATCCGCCTATTTCACCATTCCCAAGATCGAGGTGCCTCATCGACAGATTGCACTGCTTAGTGCCATCAAGGTGGCTATAAAGAGCAAGAACTATAACTCGGCTTTGGGTTTTGCAAACCGCATCATTGCTAATGGAGGTTCCAGCAAAATCGTCGAAAATGTAAGTGATGAACTAAATTTGCCTTGACTCGTGACCTTTTCTTTTGCATTCAAGTCCTAACGAGATACTTCAAAATATAGGCCAAGAAGACGAAAGCTCAATGCGAAAGAAATCCAAATGACGCCATTGAGATCGAGTTTGATCAATTTGCAGAATTTGAGATTTGCGCCGCCAGCCATACTCCAATCTATAGCGGAGCGCCATTCGAAGAGTGTGCATTTGATGGATCAAAGTACCACTCTAGCTTCAAGGGATCAGTTTGTAGAGTGTGCGGAGTTTGCGAGATTGGCAAACATGGTAGCGGTTTAAGATTGTTTTCATAGACACCTAATTTGGACTTGGAATTGTAAAAGGGAGGCTCAAAAGGGGCGTAACAATATCATAGTCATGGAATCTTAACGAAATGGTATTGGGGGATGTGGCTAGTGGGGAGAGGCTTTAGTGGTGATTGAGAGCAGTGAACAGCTGTATCAAGCTCGATTACATATATAAATGGTGCCATTATATCATGTTTTTTGGAACCTCTTTTGATAAATAATTAATTATGCTGCTGAGCATTGTGAGATGTTGCATCTAATGTGACTAAACCAAACCATGCCTTGTTTGACGCTCTCTACACAATGGTTTCCAGCTCGCGAGCATAGCCCAGTGTATTTTCCATGATCATTTGGCTCATATCCTTGACGTAAACTCCATCTTCGCTGCCTTCCGCCGCATTGTTGGGGAAATAGATATGGCCCTCCTTAACCAGCCATCCGCGGTGCTTGGCAAATTGAATAACATCTCCTTCTGAGTTCAGGAATAATAGCGATTTGGTGGAGCTTATCGGAAGGCTAGGGTAGGCTCGCTCGCTGCTGCTGGCGATCTCGGATCGGATTTGGTTCTTGAGGATCTGTCCCCATCCGTTCAGTTAGCCATGTGTCACAAGTTGCAAAAGCGAACTCCATTAGGTACGCACCTCAGAGAAGACACTGTACTCGTCGCAGGGGACTTCGCTGCTCTTCATCGCCTTCCATACTCGATCATAGCTTCCCTCCATAAGCCACCTCTCCAGACGAACAGGGTATCCCAGATATCGGTCGCCTTCAACATCGGCCCCGCCACCATCTCTGTTTGTCAGACTCTCCAGCTCTGAGTGGAACTCGGCGTAGCGACCCTGAGTGAGGAGCAGCAACAGGCTCAGACCCGTGACCCTGTTGCGTTCAGGGAGGTTTGGCGGCAGGGTAGCTGACGGCAGCTCATAAAAGGGCTGCAGCTGCTGGACGTAGCGCGTGAAGGCATCGGCGTTTTTGGCGCGAATAGAGAACAGGGCACCCTGCTCGTAGGTCTCTCGGGCAAGGGCGAGAAGGTTCGAGGGTGTTGAGGGAGTGGGAGTCAGAGCGTTGAGGCTGAGGAGACTGAGTTTGGCCTTGGAGAGGAGGGCGCTGGCCTCGGGATAGCTCATCTGGGGAGACTGCTTTAGCTGGGAGAGAATCTGGGAGAGGCCTCGGTCAGCCATGGTTGCTATTGGGTCGCGTTCCCTGAGAGATGGTTTCGGTGTAGAAGCTGGAATTGAGAAGGTGACGTGACGGAGAGGATGTCGAGTGTCGATGCTTGGGAGTCTTTGTGGCCGGTTGGGTGGCTGCAGATTGGTGGTTGCTTGTATGGTGGCATAAAGTGCAGTAGGTATTCTAGGCTGAATGATGACGAAGAGGTGTTAGACGGGTGCCAAAGGGTGGATAGCGGGTGTGAATTCTTACTAATGGTAGTGCGTTGCTTGGTGCCAATTGACGCCACTGATGAATTCCCCACAGAACAGCTACCCAGCACTTCTGCTACGCTACCGGTGGAGCACATATAGAAGTGCAGGGCAGAGGCACTCAGGCACCAACTGAGTGCCTGGTCACGGTTGGTTATCGCTACATGCACTCTACGCACAGGTATATCTCTGTGAGGGTGTATGGATTGTATTGTACTCGCTTTCGAGGTGATGTAATCTAGGTGTCCATTGTCCATCCGTCTGCCATTCGTGAAACCCGTTGAAGTCGTTATAAAGCCTACGGAAAGTCATCCGTATACCGAGATGCTGCCGCTTGCCTAGCGTCAGACTCTGCCTCTCTTCTCCTCGACTTCTCAATGTCTGCCGCCCACATAGCTGCACCCGTTGCTGTAGTCAGAAGAAAGAAAAAAGACAGCACCGGTATGAGCTCAAAAATCATGGCCACGGTTCCAAACCAGATGTAGTCCCACTCAAGTGTCTTTATTTCAGCCGCTTGGGCTGGCTTCGTCAAGCCTCGCAGTTGGAACCAGCGGTGATGCGATAGCTTCCCGAGTCGAGTCCCCGTGATGACAATAAAGGCAATAGTCCCGACATAAGGGATGAGGTTGAGAGGAAGAAAGAAGATAAGCTCTACAATTTGAATCGTGCTCCATGGATTGAAGGTAGCTGGGCTCGTCGGCTTTCCCAACATTTTAACTGCATCGGGTGCATCTTCAAACAACAGGCGATGAGGAGATATTAGATCCTTCAGTGAGAGCTTGATAAGCGTGGCCTAGCGATGATTTAGCTGCAGCTTCAATAACTTGGTTTCACCTCATCTTGTGGGCTTACGTCGAAAACATCCACTCGGCATTCGTCAACAAAGAAGCCTTCAAATAAGCCCTGAACAATCACCAATCCTTCACCCAGCACAAGAACAACGGCATTAAACCAGGCGCCCCAGCCATGGAAGATGGCCAGGAATAAGAATTGCGGAAGGAACGCGAACGAGAAAAGGACAAAGTATACGAAGAATGAGATCAGAGACAGAGGGATTAGCCTTCCAAACAGGAGAGGCCAAAATTCTCTGTTTCGTGTGAAGTACCAGATGCCGCGAATTGGGTAGGATGCCGCGATACCTGCGCGCTTGATGTAGAGAACAGGTCGGTTGTTCCAGAACCTAGAAAGGCATCGTTCCCTGGGTGGTGGAAAAATGTTGTTATGCGGGCTGTGAGAAGACATGGCTGCATCGTCTATAGGTAGTGGCAAGATGCAAATGAGGCCGAAGCCCGTGAGGTTGGCCGTGATGCCTAAATGAAGTCAGTCGAGGCGATGCGGTGACACAAGCAACCGTGTTTGGCGCATGTGTCTACGCATCAAGATTCCCGCCAATAGCCGTGCGGTTTTCTTACATGGTAGTAGATGACGTCTGGCACAGACGCTAATTGGTCCATTGTTGCGCCCATGAGCTGCCCAGGACTAGGTGACTTAGCACATTTAGAAGGCATCCAATAGTCTTACATCGCACGTCAAAGACCAACGAAGCCATCTACAGCTGATTGATGCTGCGTCCACACAGCTCAGAAACGCTCTGGTTGATTATGTATGCACTAATATCGGTAGCTTGGAGTATTTCCACCATATTTTACAATATTTCACAAAATGGTAACACATGAGTCTGCAATGCTTCATCCTATTCTGCTGCTGGTCCAGACTGCAACGTTCAATCTGAAGCTACCTACAACACATATAGGTAAAACTCGTGGCATCTTGCGCCTGCTCGCGCCACCCGTGGGATACAGGTAGGTAAATACTGTTGCATTTACACCACATTCACGCTGACAATTGGCTTCCACATGCATTTCCACCCACGCCTGCCTTGCCCTTTGGGGCAGCCTGTCTCTCTCGCGAAAGCATCATTACATCTAAGGTAGGCAGGCACGCCTGCTTGATTCAAAATGCGAATACGACGGATATCAAAGCCGATCACGTCGCTACCTACCCAGACAATGAGCGAGATCTCGATGTTCTTTCCTTCGGTGATGCCCACTCCCTGAGCCCAGACGATACCGTTACGTCAACTTTTCGGCTGTCAACAGCTCTTGCTCTATTTTTCGATCGATAAGCCATGCAGTTGAAGCAGGATCGGTCCCTCTGAGGCGTAGATTCGCAAACCACACCGCAAACTTGGGGAAGGAGACAGCGTCTTCCTCAGGCACACACACGCCATCATACGACCGCCGTTGATAAGATGGACGTTCCTTCCCTCCCAGTCTCGGCCACGCAGGACTCTTCTGCTGCCATCAAAACTCCTCTCTCCCCCTTCTTCTTTTTCTTTTCTCTTCCACCTCACCTCTTTTCTCTCGTTTCGACTTCGCCTTTCTTTACTCGTTCATTGTTTCTGTCTCTCATTCACATCCACCTCTGTTGGACTCATCGCACCGACATCACTTACGGATCTCGTGACGCCAACTTTGCCAACCGTACTCGCCCATTATGCGGGTCTTCACTTCTTTGACGGCCTTGGTAGCCGGCACCGTAGTGCAGCACGCAAGTGCTCAGGCAGATTACGGGTACAGGCTGTTTCCCCCTTCTCCCCTTTTTTGCTCTCATACTAACTTTGCTACAGAACGCATGGCAGCAACCGGGGCAGCAGTCCTAATGGCAATGGCAACTCTGCTGGCCTTCCTGCCGGATCTCCAAACGGTGACCCCAATGGCAATGCCTATGGAAATCCAAGTGGAAATTCCAATGGCTCTCCTGCTGGCCTCCCTGGAAATCTCCCCGGTTCAACCCCTGACATGTCTACCTGCGCTCTCCAAGTCGTCACAACAGTTTTTGTCACTGTATATCCTACTAGCCATCTTACGCCTTCCGGTGTTATCCAGCCCAGTGACTTTGACCCTGACCAGACCATTCATCAAACTGCGTTCCCTACTACACCCATCCCAATTTCTTCAGCTGAATCTGTTGAGGCCGCACACACCAGTGTCAAACCCTTCACCACACTCACAATCGACGTTTGGGGCAGCGATCCTGATTCATCAAACGCTTTTCCATCTGATGATCCGTCCGCCCCTGTCTACACTGATGGCGCTTCTGACCCTGCTGAGACCTCCGCGGACTACCCTGATGGTTTCCCTTCACAGACCCCTTGGCCCAGCAATTTACCGGCGTCTGAGCCTTGGGAACATCCCACACCATCAGACGGACAGTCATCTTTCAGCGCTGGACCGGTTGTTGGTTCTCCTACCGCTATCCCTCCTGAGAATTCCGCATACGGCAATGGGGATGACTTCCCTAACATTTCCTCCAACCCCAATGGCGGACAACCATCAGAATACTCATCACCAACTGGTACAGGCGCTGATGAAAACGGCAACCATCCTATTCAAGTGACAGTCATTGGCTCAGATGGGAAACCAACCGTCCTCGAATTCCCTGGCGCCCAACCCAGCAACGGCAATGGCAATGGCGCTGGCCAACCTTTTCCCACAGTCACCGCTCCAATCTCTGGCTTCACTCCGGGCGGTGCCTCAGTAACTTCAGGCGTCTTAGCAACGGCAGGTGAGACCATGTGTACCAGCTACACCATCATCGGGCCCAATGGAGTTCCCACAGTCGTCCACTCTACTTGGGTCGACTTCCCAACAGCCACTGCTGGCCTCCCTTCTGGTTTCCCATCGGGTTTCCCATCCGGTCTTCCATCCGGTCTTCCATCCGGTCTTCCATCAGGCTTCCTTTCTAGCCTTCTCTCCGGCCTTCCTTCAGGTTTTCCATCAGGCTTTCCTTCTGGGTTTCCTTCTGGATTTCCTTCTAGCCTTCTCTCCGGTCTCCCAACCAACCCCAGTGTCATCACGGGCTTGCCTGGCGGACCAGTCATCGCGACACACACTGAGTTCACTGTTCTTGGCCCTGATGGACTTCCAACCGTCATTGAGTCCTCCTGGCTGGTGCCCGCACCGACGAACACGCAGCTGGGTATCTCCAGTCCGAATTCTGTAGGTGGATTCCCAAATCAAGTCACGGGCATCCCAACTCAAACTGCTGGAACGGCGGCTGGCGTGAGCGTGGATGGCAGTACAACTTGCACAAGCTATACAGTACTGGGACCTGATGGCCTTCCAACTGTCATTGGTACCACTTGGGTCGTTCCAAACCCGACTGCCGGCGCGATTCCTGCCAACGTCGTCACTGGAGTCCCAAGCCAAGTTAGCGGAGTTTCTGGTTTCCCTTCACAGTTTGGAACAAACGTTGGTGGTGCGAATGCCGTCACGACTTGCACGAGTTATACTGTCCTGGGACCTGACGGTGTTCCCACAGTTGTTGAGTCCATCTTTGTTGTGCTCGCGAGCAGCGCTCTTCCTGCAGTTACCAACGGACTGCCTCTGCCTCCTGCTCAAGCTTCTGGCTTTCCACAAGGCACCCCAAACCTTCCAGAGGGAGGTAATTTTGCCACAACTTGCATCACAGTCGGTGTTATAGGACCAGATGGATTTCCAACGCCTGCCATCCAAACAATTGTCATCCCTACCAGTGGTCTAGGCAGTGCTTTGCCTGCCCAAACCAACCTTGGGTACCCTTCTCTTGTACCTGCCCAAACCGGTCTTCCTCTTCCCCAAGGAGGTCTTTCTGCTACTCCTGCTGGAAGTGGACTTTTCACCACCTGCATTACGGTTACCACACTAGGACCAGATGGTATGGCAACGCCTGTTGTTCAGACTATTGTCGGTTTGCCGAGTGGTGCCGATCTTGGGGCTCCGAGCGGGAGTTTGATCAACCTTCCTACCCTAACTCAATACGGATCTTTTGGAACCGGTCTGCCAGTTGTTTTGCCGCCGTCTGCAGTGGTTTCTGGCCTTGCGGAACCAACAGGGACTGTCACTGGTACCCGCACTTCGACTTTTACTGTCACGAATGGTCCTGATGGACGGCCTGCCTCTCTCGTTCCGTACGGTGACGAATGGAACAATCAAGCTCCAGTGTTGGAATCTTCGCCGCTGTCAAATAATGCCTACGGCTCGCTTCCAAGTGGCCCATCACATCTTGCAACGGCTCTCCAGACTAGTACATGGACCAACGTCATACCGGAGCAAACCACCACCTACACCATCAACTTCCCTCTTACTACCATGGCGACTGTTACTATTCCTAATCGACGTGTCATGCGACGTCAGCAAGAGTAAGTCGCAGATGATCTCCCTATATACAATTTCTAACTTAGCATAGGTCAGTAACGTCAGAGTTTGTATGGGACAACTCTAGTGCTACTCTCTCCTTTCCGGCCTTTAGTACCCCGAGCCCCTTTACTCCCGTTCTTCCTTCTGTGACAGATTCCGTGCCACCGCAAGCTTCTGCCGTGGATGGATCAGACTTCAGCCCTATGTGTCCCACTGGTGGAAAGATTGGCAATTTTACACTCGACGTAAGTACATCATATGCCTCTCACCTCCTGTCATGCCCATCGCTAATCTGAATAGTTTGATGATACCAAGGCTGGTCCACTCTTCAACCCTTCTCGCGATATCTGGTTCTCTCAAGGGTTCCTCATCGCGCCCCCATCGTCCCAAACCTCTCAATCTTACAATCCTTCGTCCGGCGGCCAGCTTGTGGAATTTATGCCACCATCCCTGCCTTTATCAGCTCATTCTAATGCGGGGGACACTGCTGAGATTGGCGTTGGTCCAAATGCTCCAAATCACTGCTTCAGATTTGACTTCCAGGGCGCGAGCCTTGGCTGTGCGGCAAAAGGTGCCGAAAACTGGTGTGACTTTGAAGTTTCAGCATACCGCTACAACGACGTTTCACAAAGAGAGGAATCGATAGCCTGGTCTGAGACGAAGCATATTCCAGCATGCCCCAACTTCCCTCATGGGAATTGCCGGTTGACCCCTGTGTCGTTTGATGGCTACACGAACATCACGTCGATTCTGATCAATCTCCGTGTTGGCAATGAAGTACGAGTCTGGTGGGGAGATGACTTCAAATTCGGCTGGAGCGACAATGGTTGTGATGCCGCGGCTTGTCGCGCGAATGCTCTTCCTCAACCCGTCAAGCGTGAGGCCATCGAATCAGCCGCCCGCCAAGGAGTCTGGCACTGGACTCCGCGTGGGCTGAAGCGACTTGATGACGGATATATCTGGGAATCAGTATAATAGCCATCATTTGATAATTTCGGAGGGTAGTTAGGTGCGATGAAATGCGGTGGGATAATATTTGCTGTTTGTTTGTTGTTTGTTATGGGGACAATTTGAACCTAGATTTCTTGGCGAGCAGCATAATGTGGTTGTAGCTGCAGTATCAGATGTAATGGTGACCAGCAGTGGGATGGAAGCTACCTAGGTCATGTAAATCACATCGTTATGGCAAAATCAATGGACATTTCCGACGAGATTCTCTCTAAATTTGGTGCTAGTAGTACGTTGATATGAAAACTTGGCGAGTCGTAGACAATGAGAGGAACAATGAGCATATCGCCGCCTGGCATTTCTATATTGACTTGGTCTTGATAATTAGGCATAAACGCGAATAGTCTTTTCGTTTCAAATATTGGATTGTAAGGGCAGGGGCCCGCGACTCTTTACAAAGGAGCGACGATGCATGAGGAGTGAATAATGTATACAGATGCTATCTAACACTAAAACGAGTGTCTATAGTGCGTGCTTATAACACGCCAAGCGGCGATTTCCTGTTCCTCAAGGGCTGGTCTCTATTGAACCAGGTAGACATGGCATCGACATCTCTGCTCTTGCGTCCCGTTCCACCTAGAAGTGGGCATGCTTCGTCCCAGGGACCACAGTCAGCGTCACATGGTGGCAGATCCGAAGGAATGATGCCAGATTCGAAGTAGTCGGCTACGACTTTCCTGGTGCATTGGCTGGGGGTAGAGACCACGGCGGAATGGCCCATGGCCTCTTGGATGAGGACTCGGGCGCCGGGGTGTTGGTCGGCCATGGCCTGGGCGGCTCGCAGTGGCGTGGCGGGGTCAAGTCGATTGGATAGGAATAGGATAGGGGCTGCGGGACGGCCCGGCCGGAGGGACGGATCCGGATCGGGGGTGGTGAAGGGGCCGTTGAAGCGCCAGTTGGGCCGGATGCGCCAGCTCGAGCATGGGATGCGGATTGTAGACCATTTGGCGCCAAGGATGCTGGAAGTGTCCATCTGGCTCTGCACGTACTTGTGCCAGAAAGCGAAGCCCCTGTGGGAAATGTCCTCGCCATCATTGCAGACGACGGCGTCCTGAGCCTCCTCCATCTCAATGGCCCAGACCTTGTCACCTAGGGGGCATGCGTCCTTCATGCGGGGCACCACGCCTGTGCCCACAGCCCAGATGGCGATGTCTGTCAGGTCGCCGGACATGAATTTGTCCAATGTTTTTGCAAGCCCCTTGAATTGCGTCAAAGGTCCATAAAGAACCAGGCCGGCCAGCTGTCGAATGTCCCAGCCAGTGACGATGACGACGTCTCCCGAATCTGCCAGCGCGGGCTTGGGTGCGTCATCCCACTCTGAGAGGAAAGCGTCAAACCGACGGCGTATGTCGGATGCTCCGTGGGCGTCCGACTCGCGAGCCAGGGCGCAGATTTCGGGGCCGGCAGCAGCACAGCCCTCAAAGAAGCGATCGAATATCTCATCTGCATCGACAGTATTTGTAAGCCAGCCCTGAGATAGGAAGGAAACTATTAGCAAACGTTACAAGAGCATCTTTGTTGTATGAGAAACGTACTGGCCCCGTTGTGTAGTCTTGAATATCGCAAACCCCGTCAAGGATCAGGCGACCAACACGGCCGGGAAACATGGAAGCAAAGTAATTACCAAGGACGGTGCCATAGGAAAATCCAATGTACTGAAGACGCGGAACATTGCCAGGTTCGTCGTGAAGCTCGGCCGACTTCCTCTTGGGAGCAGATCGCTTCTTAAGCTCTCCTTCCATGTCGGAGTCGTACGTGTCTGGTGCTTCATACCCTTTACGTTTCTGAACAGCCTCCTTTTTGCGCAGCTCGTCGATTCTGTCAACCATCTCGACCATGTCGCGTGCGACGTTGGGTGTTCCAACAAAGGCCATGGCGTCCTCGGCTTCCTGGCACCGCTGGGCAAAAGCATCCATGATGGCAAGGCTGTACGCAATGGTGTTGTCTCCCTTAGTGAGGGCGCCATTACCGCGGGTTTCGAGCAGGAAAGCGTCTCGCGCTAGCAAGTTCCCATTGAAGCAGTCGGAAGCGGGAGTCGTTTTGCCAACACCACGGGGATCGAAAGAGACAATCTCGTAATGGCGGCGTCCCGGCTTATCGACCGTGTACTGAAGATAACGGCCTGAGATGAGCAGAAATTCAACACCGGAGCTACCAGGTCCTCCAGGGTTGGTGAAGATGGTGCCGCCAAAGGTAGGATCGTCGTCTGGTACCACTGCAGGCAGCTTGATCATGGCAATGGTGGCCACTCTTGTGTCTGTCTCGTTGAGCCAGTCAAGGGGCACCTCTAGGCGAGCGCACTTGAACTCGCCATAGCAGTCTTGATACTCGAGTTCGTCGCTGGGCTTGATGTCGTCCCACTCGAAATGGAGTTTCTCCGAAGCGTTGACTCGCGCGATAGCCAGCATGGAGCAGCATCCAGCCGCCAGAAGACGCGAGCAGAGCCTCATGGCGATGCCTGCAGTCCTGGCAATTCAATATCAATGCTGAGTTGGTCAGTCGTCGTCGAATATAACGATATAAATGAGAGGGGAGGAGAGAAGACAGAGTGGAAAGACAGATGGAAGAGAGCAGAGAAGTTAGATGAAGCGACAGGGTAGGGTAAGTGTAGACACGACCTACTTCACCCAAGTGGGAAGTATAAGAGCACGGTAACGAGAGACGACCAGCAGCCGAATGTTATAGGCTGTCAAGTTGTTTGCTCTAGCCGGTGCAACAGCCCTGACATCATCGATAGCAGCACGCCTGAACGGCCGGTGACTCTGAGTGACTTGCTGCTGTCAATCGCCGCATCGCGGGATCTAAGCCCACACAAGCAGGCTGAAACAATGTCTCGGGCCATGTCTTGAGGGGTTTCGGTGAGGATTCGGTACTTGGCTGGGCCGAGCAAAAGCTGTTCCCACCTGGGGAGTAATGCAGCACTGAGGCTTAGACCCGAAAGGATTGAAAGCTGATAGTATGGCCGGGGCCAGAGGAATTGAGGCGTTGTATTGATGTGGAAAGGAAAAGCAGAGATGCCATGTGATGTTTGCTTTTATCAATCACATGTGGATGCTTGTACTACTCCATGAGTATGCGCGTGGATGTATGAGCATATCGTGGCTGATAGCTGTCTTGGGGAGGCTGTGGTTGTTGCTTGTTTCGGTCAGAAACGTCCACGGGTGGCAAAGCAATGGAACCATTTGCAACAGCCAGCAGCGCAATTGGTTGGCATAGCAGTATCTACAGGTCATCTGCACTGCATAGGTATGCAAGCTCAGCTGTCTATCATGTGTAAGTCAGTCACATGTAGGAGCAAAAGGGAAAGAGGCTGAGAAGGAATAAGACATGCTATTAATAATCATATTGCAGTTCTCGGCCGGAAAAGAAGAAAAAGGATCAGTTGTACGTAACTTAGGACATTCAAAATACAAAAATACTAAACCAAAGTAAGTACTAGGTATTATAGTATATACAGATCACGCTCAAGGATACATTTACAGAGGGGGCGTTCCAGACACAATTCCCAATCCCGTCTTTCGCCCACGATATATCACTATTGCATGTATTGAAAAAACAAGACAAGAGAAAATAAAAAAAATACATTGTATAAAACCTAGCGCCAACGAATAAGTAGGCTTTTAATAATCGTTTCAACCAATCACTTTCCCTTCCCTTCCTTCCCTCACCCCCCTCCCTGTGTTTATTATCTTGCCGAATTCAAAAGTCGTTTTTGAGATTTTTATTTGCTTCACTTGATGGAGAAAAACAAAAGAGTTTAAAGTAAGTCAGCTCACCAGGCAGAAATAGATGCGCTCTTGTAGATGGAGTTTGATGTGTTTGTGTACTGGGAGGCGTATGCGTTATGCATGTATCGACGTTTTGTATGCCAGTGTCTAGCTTCCCTCTCCTCTCCTTTCTCTTCAGTAAACACGCAAATGTATGCTCTACGACATGTAGATGGAACAAACTCTACATGATAACCTGTAGACAAGATGTTAGCTGCTTTCATATGCCTCATACACGGCAGAGCTGGGCGTCTACTTACACAATCGCCGTCTTGTTTGCCCTGCGGAATTCCCATATCTTCAAACGTTGCCGGTCCTGACTTGCCTGATGGCTTGGCCTTGGCTGGAGGAGAAGCCGGGCCAGGGCCTGGGCCTGGTGCAGGACTTGAGCTGTGCTGAGGAGCAGGTCCCGGAGGAGCAGTGCCAACTCGGTTGGGGCCGGGACCTGGCCGGGGTCCGTTTCCAGGACCTTGAGGCCCGGGTCCGGGTCCATGTCCGGGTCCAGGTCCATGTCCGGGAGGGGGCCCTCCGGTTTGGACTCTTCCTGGTGGTCCACCTTGGCCGGGGAGAGATCCCAGCCTTTCTGGGAAATGACCAACTGGGCCTCCGGGGCCTCCGGGACCACCTGGGCCGCCAGGGTGATACTGTTGATCAGGATGTCCATCTTGTCGTGATGAGGTTCGAGGAGCGAACTGCCCGGGCTCTGGTCCTCCATGAGGGCCGCCCATCGGGCCTCCAGGACCACCATATCCCTGGGGTGGTCCGTTCTGCATGCGGTTCCCGCTGTGGGCGCTTCCAGGTCGGCTGTCTCCTGGGTATGGACGTCCCTGGCCAGGTCCGCCTCCTGGTGGTCCGTAGCCTCCGGGACCGGGCGGTCCGCCTCTGCCACGGCCACCGCCCGGCCCACCAGGAGGATACATGTTGCCCTGTGGGCCCGGCATTGGCCGTGGTGGACCATTTCCTTGTGGCCTGACACCAAAGGCACTGCCTGGCCGGTCTGCTGGAGGGCCCTGACCCGGGGGGTAATTGTTGTTGAGGCGAGGCCGGCCATCGTCGTCTGGATAGGGCGCGTTCCTCGGCGGCTGCATCCGATCGTCTACGGGATAAGGCGCGGCAGACTGAGAACGCATGGGTGGGGCGTTTGGATCGACACGGATGTTAAAGGCCGGCTGTCGATCAGCCGTATCAACGAAAGACGCCCTGGAGGGTTCGGCAAAGCTGTTGTTCTCCGTCACAATTGTGGGACGCATGCCCGGTGAGGGCAAAGGTGAGACACGTGAGTTGCCAACTGATGTGACGAGTTTGGGCAGTGGTGCTGGACCATCGCCTTCACTGAGCGTGGGCATTGGGTTATTTTGCTTGTTGAATCGGTCGGGGCGCTTGCCTCTCATAGAGCCGTGCTGAGACTTGATCCGTCCCAGGGTGGTTGTTTCGTGATCCTGCTTGGAGAGGCCGCTACCACCCTGGCTAAGCGACTCTAATCTACCGACGGCGTCCTTGTTGCCGTGGTCAGCCGCCAGTTGGTACCACCGCTGGGCTTCAACAACGTCCTTGTTGACGTGGATACCGATTTCGTGGTAGTAGCCCATGGCAAACTCGCCAGTGGGCAGCTTCGCGGACGCTGCCTCGTGAGCATACTTGAAAGCCAGCTCTTCGTTCTTTTTGAAGACACCCTCGTAGCCAAAGAGGAACCATCGACTAACACCAAGGGCGGCTTCTGGAATTCCTTGCTTGGCAGCCAAGCCGTAGTAATGTAGGGAATAGGAGGGATTAAAGTCACATCCCAGCTGGCACAGCTCGTACGCCTGACCCATTTTAAGCTGAGCTTTGGCAAAGCCAAGATAGGCCGCCTTTTCGACATAGACCTTTGACGTTTCAATAGCATAGGGCAAGATGCCTTCGGGTATGCTGATGTCGGGCAGGTCACGTCCGATGAGCATACCGTAGACGTATGCACCCTGAGGAGCATCCTCATCCGCACTGTCGGCGGCGGCTCGAATGCGCTCCAGGCCTCCTTGGTAGTCCTTGGTCTCGCCGTGCTGGCCCAGGAGACTCATCATGCCCATGCGGTACAGGGCGGCCGAGTCCTTCAAGCTGAGACCCTTGTAGTAATACTCCTTGGCCTTGGACATGTCGTTGGACTGCTCAAACAGCATGCCCATGCGGTAGACGGACCGTGTGCTGCCCAAGTCGCTCGCCTTCTTGTACCCCGAGTAGGCCTCGCGCTTGTCGACGCGTTCGCCGAACTTGCCAAACTCGAGCCATTTGGCGCGGATGTAGAGAGCATCTGGGTGTTCCTGCTCGGCCAGGTATCTGATGATGTTGACTGCGTCGTTGCGCAGCTCGTGCTCCTTTCGTGGGGTTGGGGGGCGATTACCACTCTCGGCCGCCTCTCTGGCAGCGGCGTCCATGGAGATTTCGGCCCAGTTGAGCACATCGCGGGCCCAAGTGATTTGCATGTTGACATTCTGCGAGTGCAGCACATGGTTGCGCGCCTTCCACAGGATGTTCTCCTTCTCGTCATCGGCCGGCGGCACGTTGTCCCCCACGACCTTGGGGAAAGGCGAGAATGAAGGGGCGTCTTCGTCCATGTCGGGCAGCCGTGTTTTCCGCGTCTGGTTCGGCGTCTGGCTCTGGCTGTGGCTGGGGCTATGACCGTAGCCTCTGGGATCGGGCTTCTGGCCGGTGTAGGTCGACAGCGAGGGCTCGCGGCTTCTATTGTAGTCGTGGACTTCACGGGCTTCCAGTTCCATGCGCTGCAGGTCCTCCTGCATGTTCTGCGGCACCTGAGGGGTCACCCTAATCGAAAGGATCAAGACGAGAACGTCAGCAGCAGCCCCACCTCGAATGGCTTAAGGGCTCCATTCAGCCTCTGACAAGGTCCAGCCTCATCCAGGCGAAATGGGAGATAGGAGGGACATGACAGAAAAAAAAAAGGACAAGGAGGCTTAGAGACAGGGATCTGGGAGTGGGATAAAAGGAAACCATTGGGAAGGATGTGGATATGACTATGGATATGGATATCTTACCGTTGAGGCGACGGCGCAACAACCTCTGGCATAAAATAGTCATCGTCGCTGCCAGGCACGAAGGTGGCACCGAGTTTGGAGGCCATGGCTTCGGAGGGGGAGGGGATACGATATGATACACAGAGCCGTCTATATCTGTACGTGTATGGATGCTGCTTCTAGAGGATCGGTGGGTATGTATTTTTCGAGCGGCGTCTGCACTTCTGCAGCGGTGCAGGTGCAGCGGTGCAGCGAGTGCGAATGGCGGGATTCGGGCCTCGAACCCTGTGTGCGGATTCGGGTATAATAATCAAATCAAAGCAAATCCGGTCTTTGTATAAGGATCAATACCTGTACTCCGTAATGCGCGCGGGAAGCCTGGAATTATGTACGGCGCACGTCTTGAGGCGGTGCACAGGCTAGAGCGGAAAAGGGCCAAGCGAAAGGCCGGATCTTTTCTTCGTCTCTTTTCCTCCTGCTTCCCTTTTATTGTCGCACAAGGGGTTGCGTGGCCACGGAACAAACGCCGCGACAGAGGCTTGAGTTGGGGGTGAAAGGATAAGGGAAAAAAAAAGAAGCTCTCGTCAGGAACCGCGCCGTTGATATCGAGGCTGAGGTGTTTAACACGGACTCTTGTTTGGAACAGTGAGCTATAATTAACTCCCAGGCTAATACAGTGTGGCGATGCGCCTCTGGAAGTCTGATGCATGGCATGCAAATCCTCACGCGCCTGCTGACCTGCAGCGGGCTTAGACGGCGGGCTTCGTAGCTAATAGTGGCTGTTTGTTTGGGGGGCATGTAAGATGTCAAACATTGATAGCTTCCGATTTATATCCTCCGAGTAGGTGTTTATTAATATGAGACATCCTGAGTGCTATGTAGTTGTCTCCTAGGTACGTCAAGATGCGTGAACCTGGATCTACCTGCATTGTTGGTTTCCTTACAAGATCAACAGACTAAAGATCTATGATTGTGCTTGCTTGCTAGTTTCCTCTCCCTTTCAAGCCTGGACGGGGTATTAATCAAATTACTGTCATCTCCAATAACTTGGACTAATGCCTTGGAAATAACGGCATGGACCCAATATCGTTGAGCCAGTGCCAAGCTAGATAAGGAGAAGAAACGAAACGAAACCAGCGGAAGAATGCGCCACCGTCTGTGCCTTGGCTTGGACTGATGGCATCACGAATACTACCCCCCATGCTTTGCAGTTTATACTCCGAAGACTCCGCCCAGCCGAGGCCAGTTTCTAAACATTTGCCTAATATGGAGCTTGAAGGTATGGAGTTGATCTATTCTAGGCATTGGCAGAGCTATTACAATACGGCGATGCGCTACAGCATGTGACATGTCAGTGCGTGTCCTGATCTTCCAATCTGGGTTTCTGAGATGTAAATGTTCCATGGATGTCGCTAGTGTGGCTGCTGTGCCGTGAAATCACATGCCTAATGCCACAGTACAGCAGTGACCAGCGCCACTTTTCCCCTGGAGCTTGAACTGGCCCCTCCAATCTGGCGAGACGAGGCACACTCCAAACGACATTGCGACAACTTCCCGTCCAGCTGCTGGCACCAACCATGGCGACGCTGCCAGATCCCCAGGCCATTGAAGAGCCCTCGTACATCGACTACGAGACGTTCCTGGATCCTGACTTCGTACCTGCTTCCTTCGCCAATTCCCTCGTCCTTTCCACCAACAACCCCGACGACTCCCCGCTAGATCTCGCAACACCCTTGTCACGAGTCCTCTTTGACGCTCAAGAGATCGACTCGCACATTGACCTCCTCACAACCCGCTCCGCCGTGCCCTTGCTGCAGTACACCCAATCGCAGACGCAGGCAAGCAAGGCCATTGTTGCCCAGCTCGATGCTCAGATCGCAAGCTTAAACGACAGCTACAAGCAGCTGGAGAAGGAGGTTATTGATAAACATGCAGAGGCGGAGGAGATACGGCAGGTCGCATTGCGCCTGTGGGAAACGCTGAGGCTGGGGAGGGCAATGGGAAGATGTCTGCAGCTCGGGAGGCAGCTACAAGTTCAGTTCTCCGAATTGGGCGGCCCCAGCACGGGGAAAACCGACTACGGAGCGCTTGTTCGATGCTCATACACGATCCTTTCGCTGCGAGAAGTGCTGGACAGCAGGGCACCAGGAGAAGAAGGCCATGGACTCGAAAAGTTGAACGCAATCAAGAATCTACAGGACACTGTCATTGTACCGATAGAGCGACGCATAACAGAGGTGTCTGAGCGCCTGATTAGGGAATTCGTCATCCCGAGCAGCATCACTTTTGCGCAAAGCGAGGAGGCACGATCACGGCTGACATCAGCCATGACTACGCTGTATCTGCTGTCCCCGTCTATGGGTATTCAGCCAGACAAGTGGTCACCAAAACTGCTTTTGCAAGCCCTCGATACCTATGTTCGTTCTGCGCTGCAGGGAAGCACCGCATCGCTCTCGCGATCTCTGGGGCAGCTCCCCACGCTAGACAAATCTCTCGTCGAAGTCGTGGCCCACTGCCAGAACATTGCCTCGCTTGAGCTGATCCTCGAGGCTACCGAGACTCCAGTCCACCCCTTCTTTCCAGCTCCCGCGAAGAAGAAACAGCACAGCCTCCTCCAGCTGCTGCTATCTCGTTTTGAAACGAGCTCTTTGATTTCCTACTTTTGGCGCACCATGGCGAGCAACATTTCCGCTCGCGTTCAAGAGATAGCTAGTCGAGGAGGTATTGTGGCTCGCACCCTGCGGACGAATAAGAACGTTGTTGGGGATGCCATTCGGCAGGCAGTTGTTAAAGGGGGGCAGACTCCAAACGTCTTTTCCAGCAGCAAGAAGAAGCCCAGTGTCGAGACGAGCTGGGATCGTGAAATAGCTGTTATGATGGGAAGCGTGCTGAACAACATAGGGCGATGATTTTTGAAGGCCATGTGTGGAGGAGTGTATTAGGGAGGTATCTGGGTTCCATTGCTCACTTGGCATGCTTCGATAGACTTGGCGATTTGGTTCAATCGAGCAAAGGATACCCATGCATATAGATTTGGGCAATGGCCGCCATGTTGTATGAAAAAGAAAAGTTAATGACGAATAATACTGTATCAAAGATTCAGCCTCTCAGAATCATACTTAGAAATCGACGCTTCTGTGTTCTCAGGTTCATCTTCCCTGCCTCTCACTGCCATCCCATTAATGCTTTGTGCCCTTTCAAGATCCAATGCTAATGCCAACGCCACGCCAAGTGATATCTATATTTCCTTGCCCATCAATATTCATCTGGCGGCCCGGGCCAACTCCCCTCCGGCACCGGTATTCTGGCAGATCTCGTATAGATGTGCCTTGCATTCTCCAGGCTCAGGTTTTCCATACAGCCTCCCGTAACCGTTAGTGTCGACTGTGATGTCCCATCAGGCAACAGACCTCGGTGGATGACCCTGACACCGCACGTCTTACAGAAGTAACACTCCAGCGTGCATCCCGAGTCGGTCTTGCGTGTCCACATGCCAACGTGAGGCCGAATACTCTCAGGGAACGGAAGCATGCCCTCAACAGGGAAGATGGCAGAGACACCAAAGGCCGACGATGACTGTCTCTGGCACTCCAGACAGTGGCATACATCGACTGAGAGCGGCTTGGGGAGCACGGCCCGAAAGGAAATGGCTTCGCATTGGCATCGAATCATGGGGTTGGACTCCATTTGTCAGATAAAGCGGGACGACTAATAGCGAGCTACTGGACTGTGCAGCTGCGAGCTTAACCGCTTGTGCGTGGATTGAATACGGTGTGTGTGTCTGTGTGTTCTATCTGGAGTGTCGCAGTATATATGGAGTATTTCTGTAAGTCAGACGGAGGAACTTTAGAAGCTGTGTGCAGCTGGATAGCTAGTAGATGGCTGTCTTTGTTTCTTTTGTAATTTGGAGATGAGAGGTTGTCAAAATTATCGGAGATCTGGGCTACTGAAGGGCGTATGCTTTTAAACATTGGCGCTAAAACGCACTTTAAATCGATCATGACATTGACAACGACAATGACGCGCTCCCAAGTGATATAAGAGATATTGCTTGAATACAATGCAATGACTTGCTTGTATCCAGAATTATTCATTTTTCAACAATTATCAGCTAAAATATCAATGCTATCCTTCTGTGTGCACATCATCAATGATATCATACCTAGGCTGACCACGGAAAACACCGCCATCATATTTTTCTCGCATCCAATGGGGGTGAATATCGTTATAACGAAAAAGTTGCAACGGTGTGCGCGGCTTTTCAGCGTCCCGGCTGCGGCACCGCCGGCAATCGTTCCCCAGCGGCCCTTGTAGCCAAACCCGCCACGCCCCAATTGCTTTACTCTAATTCGCATTAAGCTTCTTGCTTTTCTACCTTCTCCATTGTTCTAACCCAACCCCCTTTTTTCTGTTATTCTTCATCTCTTATGCTCTGTTTTTGTTGTCGTTGATTCTGTCCCAGAGTGCGACGGGCGTCGCTGACCTGAAATTCTCCCTCGAGATCATTGTCCGTGATTGGAGGAGGTAACAACAATTCGTCGTCGAGGATACAGGTACTCTAGAAAACTCGGCGGCGCGAGGCCCGCAACCACACAACAGTATGGTCCGGTACGAGATCTTTGATGCCCGGGACTTGCTGGCCTTCCCCGGAGGCGACAACAGTACAGACACCGTCTTTGGAGGCATCCACTTCAACCTCACCACACTCGAGCACTGGAATTACACCTACTACAGCAATGGCACGCTGTCCAACAACTCCCGCTGTTATCTGACATACGAGCCGTATCAGCCCCAGCTTCTCATCAGCAATGGAACCTTTATCAACGCCACCAAGTGTTACAGCGCCGTGGATCCAATTGGTGTTCGGGGCTACACGGGAATTGGCTTCGCGGCCGTGTATGCTGTTGGACTTATGCTCACACTCACTGCTCTGGCCAAGCACGGCAGACTGTATCTACCCAAGGAGAAGCGCTTCTATCCAATTGGTCGCCGCTGGCAGTGGTATTGGGCTTGCTTTGTTTGCGCGTGCGCCTTGATCAGCCTCTTCACCAACATCGATATCGACCGTTACCATGTTGTGGAGCTTCCCATCATTGTCACTTCCTTCTTCTGGTTCCTCATATGTCAGGGAACCATTGCGCTAGTCTGGGAATCAGTGAGGCATTGGGGAAGCTGGCAAGAGAGGCAGTTCATCGACCCGAATCCCTTTGTCTATCGTACCGACGACCGGCGCGCAAAGGTAGAGTTTTATCTGCCCTTGTGGTTCTATTTCTGGACCTGGATGGTGAGTTTCCCTCTCAATACTGTCAAATATCAAACCTACGTAAGGTCAGTTTCTTACCACGCCATGCTATAGAACTTCTTCCTCGTTGTGCCTCGTGGCTGGTCGTTTGTGGAAATGCAACGATCCCCAGAGCAAACCATAGCCAAGGCGATTCCCACTGCTACTGGAGCGCGATTTAAGGCGGGCGCTTTCTGCCTTGTTATCGCTTGGGCTACAATCGTCTTTTCGCTTCGCCACTCAATCTACCACTACAAGCCGAAAAACCGTGGAGTGTTGAATCGTACATTGGGCCTTGTTAAGGCGATTCCGCTGCGCTTCGTCTTGACCATTCCACTCACTGGCGCTCTTGTTGCTTACCAGGTTCTCATTTCTTTTAACTGGACCTTTTCTGTCATGCGCTACGGTGGAATCGTGCCAGTCATATTTGCCTGGGGCTACGGCCCGTCTTTGCTAATCATCTTCGTGCAAGTCGCATATGGATTTGCAAGCCCCAATGAAGATAAGGCTTTGCTTGCGCAACGGCGACAACGGGGTGAGACTATTGACCGGGAGCTTGGCATTGTTAAGAAGCCGGCATGGTGGAGGCGCGTTAGGGGTGATCACCTTATGAGCATGCGAGACAAGATTTCCCAAAATGTCAACGAGGTCGGAGGCAAGCGCGGACTCAGGGCCAGATTCGAAGATGAGGCGGAAAGAGAGCAAGACGACCCTGCGACCAGCATCGAAATGAACAACATGTCTCAAAGGAACAACCCTCGGGTCGATAGGGCTGGCGTTGCGAACTTGTCATCCACAGGGCCGGGTCGCTACAACGGAAAGTCTGAGCGCCGACAGAATGAGCGAATGGTCGAGTCCGTTGCCGGTGTGCTCTTCCCCAACAGCCCGAGCGATATAGCAGCTGCCGAGAGGCTTCGGAGGATTGCCGAAATCTCGCAGGACGGACCTCCACCGTATCGGGATGAAGATCGGGGTCGCTCGTCCCGACACGGGGCAAGCAACGGACAGAGGAACGGTAGTGCAGATACCACAAACTCGATTGCTGCCCCGCCCCAGCAAGTGAGAAGCATGCTGGACGTTTGAACTCTTTTAACGACTGCTTTACCGGACGGCCAAATTGAATAATGCTTAATGAGTAAGTTTAGGATGATTAGAGTAATGACCAACTTGATGTGGAAATGGAAAACTCCAAAATAGGCCTGACAACAGCTATTACATGCTGTTCGCTTCAGGTTGGCGGTGGTGCTTTCATGATTATATACATGTACTACGCCGTAAATAGATTTTGAATGAAGCCTGGAACTATGACATGATTCATCCTGCATGAGCGGCGACTGAGGTGTAATCCTATTATGCATACACCACCATGAATGATGCCGGCCCTTCTTGATACTAATACCTACATTAGTACTTGGGCATGGATGGCTAAGGCTTGATCTTTTGATGGCTCCTTCGCGCACGTGAACTTGAGATGCCGGCTTGCCACCCCCTTCTTTCTGCATCTGCATAGCACTATTCAATAAAAGCACATGTCAATTCTTGGCATTTCCATCCTCCAATTTTGCCTTTTTTTCTTTCTCTCTCTGCTCGTGTCGCACTTGTTTTGCCGGGGCCCTGCAAAAAGCAGCACAGCTCTTTTGGCAAATGTGCAACCCGTATTATCCGCCGTGGTCACATGGCATTGCAAAAAACGAGGAACAATGATGTTAGCTCCGAAGACTCCCGTCGAACGAAACATGGAGAATTCGGGAGCGGATGGGGTGGGTGTGTAAGAAAAAGGAACTTTGATGGGCATGGCAATCTACCGGGAACTGCATGCCAAACACCTCCCTTTTGGTGTACCTTATATTAGCTCGAAGCCTCGTCCTCAAATCGACGTACCAGACCAGGCTCGGGTTTTCCCAAGTAGAGTTTCCGAATGAACGTCGGCTGATGAACGTTTTTGCCCAAACCATATATGTCGTTCGTATCGATTAAAGCCGATCGGTGATATACGGCTTTTAATGTTTATGAGTTTGTCGTTTTGTCTGTCTACTTTGATCATTGGCCATTCTGTAACTTTGACTCTTTCATATTTGATGCTGACGAGGCGGATTTTCCTGTATATACTTGTACCACCGTAAGCAGAACGCCAGTTTCTTTTGGCAAAGGCTGGGTTGGGGAGCGATGAGAGGCGAGAGCGAGCTGGTGACACAAGAATTGATAGAAGGACGGACTTATGACATGGATATGATGGGATGTTTCGTGTTTCCCTTCTGAAAGGGACGGTTGGTCCCATGGTGCTAACCGATTGCAAAGATTACTTCAAACCTTGAAACCCTTGGTAGCACAGCTTTTTGTAAGTTGGCTCGTACCTACATGTATGGGGTCTATCTATCTACCGAAGGTATGACTATGATGCAAGCAGCGGTTCCGGATATTCGGTCGATACAATGGCGCGACCTGCTTGGACAATGCCACTTCGTGTAGTTACACAATCCATGCATGTAGGTATTCGTACATTTACCAAAGGTGTTCTATGCTTGATGCGGCGCCGGACTGGTGCTCGTACCTGTAAGGCGCGAGATTGTGGGGGGTGGATGCCCGTCCCGAGGCTTCTGAGACAGAGCCTCTGATCTGATGATGCACATCGTTTGAAGAAAGAAAACCCGATGAGCGATAACCAGGGTGTTTTGGTGTGTGTGCGTGTGTGTGCTGGAGAAAAGCTCGCTTGCTCGGCACGCTCCATGCCTGCTATCCACATGCTCGTATGGATGGAGATGCTATGTATATTTATATCGCACTCCCATGTCTATAATACTCCATACTGCTAGTATCATAGGATTTACATGCATCGTCAACGTGATGTGCACGCATTTATTAGCGCAACATACGAGTACACAAGGTATAATACGGCATATATTCTTCCCATACGCAGGTAGAAACGGCAAATCCCCCCACGCGGATTCATTCCTCCACCAACGCGCGAAAATATGCTTCTCCCTTGCTTGCCCGCGTGCACGCACATTGGCACTTTGAAACGGGAAACTCGACCACTCTCTCACACTCTCTCATGTCGTCCAAAACCGATACATCACTTGCATGGGGGCTGCGAAAAGAAATTGTGGGGACACACCCAAGCCATGGTTAGGCGCCCACGACTAGCTAAAGAGAGAGAGAGAGAGAGAGAGAGAGAGGCTGCTAGGTGCTTGTTAGCGTAGGCATCAAGAGCCATGTGGAGAAAAGCTGTCCTCAAGTTTTTGAAGCTGTTTCTTCCCAAGGGCAGACAAGGTTTGCACTACCAAGCGGCCACTTTTTTCGTTTTTTTTTTCTTTGTATTTATCTTTTTTTCTTTTCTTTTTCTTCTGTGAATGACTCTTGGGTGCATAAGACGGGGGTCCAGGTACAAGTCATGCTGCTTTTGCTGTTGAAGGGGCTGGGAGAGGGGTTCCGCTTCTTTGCTCCGTATCAGTGCGTGCTTGTCGGGCTCGCTCTTGGGCGGTAATGGACCACACGGCCAGCTCAGTCAATCACATCACGGTTGGCTTTTGCACGAGTAAGTTAGTAGAGAGGTACCTGCCTAGTACCTTGGCTGTTATCACAAGCCTGCACGAGGTAGCATCGAGGTACTCGTACGTGTATTTCTTTGCAAGCATTGGATTGGATTCGTTCAATCAATCAATCACAGCAGAACCGTGCTCTATCTCGTACGGCAGCTGGACAGGGACATGGTACATGTAAGTCACCTACCTAAGTTACAAAAGGCAGTAGAGACCTGCCAGATCCAGGAATGCAGAATCTCCATGCTGCTGCAACAGTCCAGGCACAGTACGGCACATGCATGCAACTCCTCTGGTTTGCTGTTTGTCCATTCAGTTCGCTCTGTGCTACTGTACGAGTATCATACTTCTTCAGCAGACAAGGTACCTGTGAGACGATGCGAGTTCTGCATGCAAGTACGAGCGCAGTACCGTCAGACAAAAAAGAAGGGCAAAAAGCGCCCTTTGAGGGCCCTGGAAAGCGGGCGTCGCTAGCCATGCCGCTGGGGCCCCACGCCATCTTTCAGCAGGAGTCAATGTACCTGGGCCGCGCACGCTAAGGTGTGCGCAGATGACCTGTACCTTACGTCGGCCCCTCTCGACTACGTCAGTCGCTGCCACTAGCTCGCCCAAGTACCCTTGCCCGGCCGCTCTGGTGTCGAGGTACTTTATTCTGTCTTGACTTTCTGCATCTTTTTTTAGGCGCCTGCGTGGCCTCCTTCTCGCCATGCCCGCGGAACACGCAGCAGCCAAACCTTCAATCTTGTGTGGCATGCCAGCTACTCTGCATGCTTCCTAGTTAGCCATACTATCGACAGTTGACTTTTTGCTGCCCTTTCGCCCTTTGGCATGCCATTTTCCCACTTCCCCGCCTGGAGCTTATTGACACGGCAAAAGTATGCACAAAAGTATCGCGTCCGCCATCTCCGGCGGATCCCCCGGTCAAAGCGAGCGAGCTGTGACGCTGCGCTGCCTCTCGTCATCCTTCCTGGCTGGCCTGGTGTGTTTCAAGCTTCTCGTACAAGTACTCATAGAGCAGGTAGCGAGCCAAACGCTTCGTATCAGAAATCACAGGGCGCGGACGGAGCTCGCATCGCATTGCGACTACTCGTACAGTACCTTGTCCATAATAGAGTGGGCGAGTAGCAGGGCGCTGCCACGAGTCACATGAATGCACATTCTCTGCTGTCCGCCGGTAGCGCGCTGCGATCTGTCTGCAGTTTGCGCCTCAGACAAGGATTCCGTCCTTCCCGAAGAGGAGAGACGAGGCCAAGCCCCAACTGCGCAGCAAAAAGTTGTCTGGGCATGGACATACTTGTACGAGTCTAGGTTCTGATGTGGCAGCTTAGAGCAAAGGTATGGTGCCTTGGCCCATAGCAGGTATCCCCAAGTACAGGCTACCTGATGAGCATCAGCCGCTGCGTGGCAGAGGCTGCCAGATTGCCTTTGTCTTTGTTCTCGACAAAGTGCATCTCGAGCATCCACAGACCAAGCTGTCTTCAGCTAGGTACCCGACGAGTTTGCAAAGGTGTGGTCTTGTGCCAAAATGGCCTTGCGTATTGCCTCACACGCAGGTACCGTATACCGGGTGCATACGGGCTCGGATGCAAAGAGTGAAGAACAACAGCCGCCCTTCGGAACCTTGGTCGATAAATGTGTGCCCATCGCTACGAGCTTGGTTGGCGCCCTGCCCTGCCAATCCGGATCCGGACTCCACCGGGGGTCGCGCCGTCTGGTCTGGGGGAGAAAAAGGCGAGCAAGCCAGAGACAAGCCATCGCCACACGGTGCCCCTGCTTGTCTTCGATTTCGCCGTCGGCAAGCTCAGGGCGTTGTATCTGGCTGGCTGGCTTGACCTTGGTCCGTCCGAGAATCTATCCATCCGTGCGGTAACAAGGTTGCAAGTAGTTGTACGAGGATGTGAGCGAGCTGAATGAAGCACAGTATCATAATACTTCGAATGTAGTCGTGGGTATGCAATCAACGGCTCTTGGATATCAAATTCAAATCGAATCGTGCCTAGAGACAGAGTAAGTCATTAGTTAGCCATCCAGAAGCAACTAGCCCACCAGGCACGCATCGTTGTGTCACCGATCGCAGGGTCCGGCGGCCCCCCTGCCTGCTGCTGGACTGGGCTCGTCGATGCTGTCGCTGGTCTGCTCAGCTGTCGCTGCGTCCTTGGTTTCCGATTCTGATCCTGGCGATCGTCCAATGGCACGGCCGCAACGAGGTCTGCTCAGTGGCCAGGGTGGTCCGAACCTGGCCACCGTTGCTGCTAGCGGAGGTGCATGGCCCAGCGCTAGATCCTTAGGACTGGCACCATGCTCAACTCAACTGGCCTCAACCTGATTGCCATCAGTGCCATCCCATCCACAATCCACATCCACAGTCCACAATCCACAATCCACCCCATCCCACGGCCGCAACCAGCGACGCCTCAGGCAACAGACGAGACTGGAGACTGTGAGAGGCACCAGGTTCGGTTCGTTGGACTTGGACTCGACGCTGTCGGCTAGCGGCAAAGTACCCAGAGCGTGCGCAGCAGGTCACTGCCGGTGCTAGCAGCCACTACTTTTCAGCGTGCCATAGCACCACTCCAGTACCTGGCCGTCGCCGCACTGGTACGAGTACCTCCGGCCGTACCTGGAACGCACAACAGCTTAGTAGCCCTGAGCGAAAGTTGAGGCGCCATTCTATCGTCTCACGCAGCCACTACCTTGCCTCTATTGGTCATCAATCCATTCCCCAAGTCCAAGTCGAGCTTCTTTGCCTTTTGCTACCCCGAAAGCCCAAAGTTACAAGCACAAGCTTTCTGGCCGCCCTTGCAACCTTGCAACCTTACCTTTAGTTGCCCCCTTGTCCTTCCTGACCTTCCGCCTCCGCCTCCCTTGCTGACCTCAAACATCCCCACCATCTTTTTCCCCTCCCCCTCGGCCCTACTTCAGCCTTCTTGCCCATTGCCTTGGCTCAGCAACTGCAACTCCAGCTCCAACCACCAGCTTCGTGGAATCTGCTTCCGATCCCTCGCAACGCCTGTCCAGACCACCACAGTCGCCCGCCAAGCTGCCAACAATCTCGTCTTATCTCGTTCGGCTTCGTCCAATATTTTTGGAGAGCCTGACTCTGTCTGCATCGCAGCCTTGCTTTGGGAAAGACGAAAGACCCGATCTCAACCAAGTACGAGTACGTACAGGCAGTGACAAGCGCCACCTTGTTTTACCCTGCTCTCTTGCGTAATCGGTTCTGCGTTGCATCACTCCTCTCGCAAACCTCCTCCCCTTCCGACTTGCACGACACTGCCGAGTTGACGGCCTGCAAGTCTGCCGATACCACTCGCCATCATCACCGCCTGGTCGCCTCGCTGCGCCCATCATGGCGGCTGCGTTTCGCCCTGTCAACACCCCACTAGCAGCGGAAATTTCCAGGCAGGACATCATGTCACCGAAAAACTCGTCCCCTCGCCCCAGCACAGCGCCGCAGTCTCAGCTACAGCCCGGACACTCACACTCGCCCGACGATGGCAAGACGCCAACCCGAGCGTCCTTTAACAGCATCAACATGGCCAGCCAGAGACCCTTGCCGCCGAGTCCATTTCCCCAGGTGACGCCCGTAGCTGAGTCTCCCGAGGATGCACTCCACCACGATGGCTCGCAGCACTCCAAGTCGCCCAACCGAAACTCGCTGGACGTAGACATGGACGACTCGGATGGAGAGATGGCCGATGATGGTGCCGGCTCCGATGGCGAGAGCGTGAATGCAGACGGAACAAGATCCAATAAGAAAAAGAAGTCACAGCGCTTCTACTGCACTGACTATCCACCATGCAACCTGAGCTTCACAAGGAGCGAGCACTTGGCTAGGCATATCCGGTACGTCAATGAGCGCCCCGATCTTGTTTCTTTTCTTTGTTTCTATTTGCTTTTTCAAATATCGCTAATGATATACTAGAAAACACACCGGAGAACGACCTTTCCAGTGCCATTGCTCCAGGCGATTCTCGAGGCTGGACAACCTAAGGCAGCATGCCCAAACTGTCCATGTCAATGAAGATATCCCCATCGACTCTCTTGCGGCTACTGGTTCGAGATTTCAGCGGCAGATTAGGACCGATAGGGTTCGTCAAGCTGGCAACAGGGCGAGGGCGTCCACCGGTGGCAGCGCCGGCGGCCCTGTTCGAGGACATTCCAAGTCCCTCTCAACCTCTAGCATCTCCAGCATCGCCTCTGTGGCATCGGCCTACAGCCCCCAGAATGATCCTCGTCGACGGCCTCCTCCTCTCGTCATGGCAGCTGATCCCCGCTCCAGGCTGTCTCTGGAATCCTACCGTAGCAGCACCGACAGTACCTTTTCCTACCGACCTCAGTCTCCCGGAGATTTCAGTACGCCAACATCTGCCACATTTTCAACGGCTCAAAGCAGTCCCCGATGGGGATCTAGCGTGGCGTCTCCAGCGTCTCACTCGCACTCGCGATCTCAAAGCATGTACGTCGTGGGTTCCCGGACTCCCGGTCGTCGGTTGAGCGTTCCCTCGGGAGCCAACCCCTTCCAGTACAGCCAGGTTCAGCCTCCAGGCCGCCCAACTGTTGGACCCCCGCTCATGAACAGCTCTCACGCTGCTGCCTTTCAACCTCCGAATGCGAATCTGGTTTCTTCGCCAACCGTTTCGCCTTCCGTGTTTTCCGGTAGAAGAGAGTCTATTGCCAGCACAGGCGAGGAAGCATGGCGGCGGCGAACCTGGCACCCTGATAGCCGTAGCTTTGGCAGCACTGCACAGCTAAACGCCGCTCTCAGCCAATCCGTGCGGCCAAATCCCCCGCCACCTATCGCGAATCCCACAGGCCCGCAGTCCAACCTTCGCCTTCCAGGTATCGAATCTTTTGATCCTCTTCCTCGTTCAGCCTCACCCCCAAGGCGTAACGCATCTCCGATGAGCGTTGACCCCGAGCCTGCTCTGCGACCACCAGTGATGGAGGCCATACAAGCTGATGAGCGGCGAAATCTCAACATGTATGACGTCAGCTTGCAGCGCGGTTTGGGCCGTCTTGACATAGGACACAAGACTCCTCCTCGCGACAGCGCCGGGATGTGGGCGTCTGAAGTCCATAAGGCGGTACAGAGCAAGGTCGATCAGGCACGCCTGAATCCGCCAACGGTCCGATTTGAAGAGCAGCCGCGGCCAAGCCACCAGGTCCAACCTTCAGCCCCTCCGAGTCGATCTTTTCACCAGCATACCATGTCTGCTCCTACCCTCGCTAGAGAACCAAGGGGCCATGGGTGGCATCAATCTCCTCAAGACATGCGGGACCCCCGTGTAGATCGAATGGTGCATCCCAACTTCACTGGTTTCGCTGGTTTTCCAGCACGAGAGCCTCAAGAGCACCCACAGCAGCAGCATTACCACCAGCAACAGCCGCTTCAGCAGCAACAAATGCAACAACAACAGCAGCAGCAACGCCAACAACAGGAGCGTTCGAACAACCCCGATTCACTGAGGCGACTCGAAGCTTTGGTGGCCGTTGCTACCAGTGAAGGCTCCAACACGGCCGCCGCCTACTAAACTGGCTGACTGATTGATGTTCTTTCTTTTGATGGGAGCCAGTGCTTCTGCTGGCCCCAGTATCATGATACCAAGTACTACCAAGTAGTACTGCCTCTGATAATCTCTCTTCCGCCCCGAAACAAGTCATTTCAGCGATGATTCTGGCCTTTTTATGCAACGTTTACGTTAATCTTGCTATTTGATGATATCCTTGCTTTTCTGAGCAGCCTTTGAGAACATGCTTTGATGCCGGCCTTCAATCGCTATTTTCGCATATCGGCTATGTACTTTTGCGTTTTTCTCGAAACATCGAGGTCGGGAGTTTGTTTTTCTCTCATCGCCACTTTTCATAACTCACGAACCACCCATGATGGAACCTGGGTTGCAGCACACAGTATGCGAACTTCTTCTTTTTGCATTCTCGGTCTTTCAACACCGTCGCTCTCTCATGTTGTCTGATAAAGTTCGCTGTTCTTTCTTTTTGGGGGCGTTTATTTTGCGAAACAGCTGTGTTTGTGACATGGTTTGATATCCTTGTATGTACTCTTTGTTTTCAGGGGGGCTACTTGACTACCTATGATGAGGTGTTTTTGACGTTTGTACCAAATGGACTGGATATGGCAGGCATCCTTTGCGCAGCCGGCACCAATTGAGTTTCACATACGAAGTGACTGAAAGACGAAAGTCTTTGCAGAGCTGGGCTACGGCCACATTATTACCAGGAGATCTGGTTTTAATGAATTGATACCCTTTGAGCTTTGACCGCGTTCGGAGCGTGTCACATCCTGTTCTTTTGCGATTACCACCAGGGTTTTCTTTTAGTTTACTGTTCTTGATTTGATAACTGCCCGGTGTCTTTGGGGATAGCCATGGACTTTTATTTAGAGCCAATGCATGTTAGGTGTACTGGAGATTAAATGGGAAATTTGACAAATCACAAATGGCGTGGAAGGTATTCTGACTGGGTGCAATCTGTGGAATGAGTGATGAGGATTAACCAGTAGGCCCAAGTTGGTTGCCTTGCCTCGCCGAGTCCAACATCTCATGGAGGTTCATCTGAAATTGGGAACTATCAACATACTGACCATGTGTGTATAGTAGGTTAGATATATCTACGAGCATACGTAGGTAGATATATATATATTTCAAAGTCCTAAGAAGTGTATCTTGTAATTGTGATATATCGGATATATATTTCACTTGTATAAATGGAAATGAAAGTGCTACCTCCTGAGTCCTGATCAAAAGATCCAACTGGATATATGTTTACCACAAGTGTCCCTCTCCTATACTTTGCTACTACTGTTGAGACTATTGTCTCTTTTTTTTCTCTCTCTCTTCCATAAACAAGCTCCCGCTCCCTACATCCTTTGCCTATTTCCCAGCAGATGAGCCATAGAGATTCTTGATAGTCACATCAAACTCCTCGGGCCGCCGCCCTAATAGCTGCTCCAGGGTCGACGACACATGTGCGGTTTCTCCCGCACGAATGGCATCCCACGCAGTTGCCCAGGTCCGAGAGAGAGAGTTACATCCAAACTTTGCGGCGACCTGCGGCTGGGCAGTGTATTCATCCACAGTAACTTGGCGGATGGTCAGATTTCTACCCGCCACGGTGGAGAGTACCTTGACGGTGTCGGCGAGAGACCATTCTCGAGGCCCGGTCAGGACTACGAGCTTGTTCTTCCAAGAAAAGCTGGTTGGGTCTTGGAAGTGCTGGGCAATTAGTTTTGCTGAGGCTTCGCCTAGCTCATCGCGTTTGGCCCAGCTTATGCCGGGGCCGGAACCGTCGTGGGGGATGAGAATCTCGGTGGTGGATTCATCTTTCAAGTCCAAGAAGGCGGTGTAAATGGGGAAGGATTCGTGATAAAGACCCTCCCTAATAGATGTCCACGAGAAGCTGGGATCCTGGTCGGCGAGTTTCCGCAGATGAGCCTCGGTGTCGAGGTGGGCGCCCATGACCTCTGCCAGCGTGGTGCTCTTATCAGGCAGAGCAAAAGCGAGGGACGAGTAAAAGACATGCTTTACACCGGCTCTGTGAGCGGCGTCGAGGGCTGGAATGTGCAGTCCAGTGCGGTACTCGTGGACATGGCTGGGGTAGGAGATGAGGAACAGGGTGGTGATGCCCTGGAAAGCGGCTTCGAGTTCTGCGGGCGAAGCTTCGTATGAGGCTTGACGAAGATGGACGCCTTGGTCTTTGTAGATTTGGGGAGTCTTTTCTGGGTAGCGGCTGATGAGGACGACGTTGGAGGGGGGCACGGCTTTGAGGAGGTGGGTGTAAGTGCTGGTGCCGAGACCACCAGAGGCGGGGAAGATGCCAATGGTCGACATGGTGATGGTGATGATTTGAGTTGTATGTGCCTGATGTCAAATTGGATTCTTTGTGAAGTGGTTGAAATGGTATATGATAAGTGGTGTTATGGTGTTTAGGTATATTGAGATGCAGTTCTGTCTACTAAATGAAATCGCATGGCTACGGGATTGGCTCGGAGAATCTGTACGAATATCCATATTAATAATGTCACCGGCATTGGCTACAAAGGTACAATGACGTATGCATCAATCCGGAATTAGATGATGAAATGAAGCAAGTGTAAAGCCACAGTAAGTAACAAGACGACACTCGAGAATGAGGCTATCAAAAGACCGAGTGAAGTGACAACATCAAATGTTTACTTGGCGTTGTTTTAGGCAGTCTCCCCCTTATTTTTAGAACCTGTACGTTTTGTTTCAGTGGCGCAGATGCTGTCCGGAGCTCGCGGGCTTGGGAACGCGTATGTTGAGCCTCAGCCGAGGATTAGGCGCGAAGGGGTCACTTCTTCTCTATTGTCGTACCGAATTCAAACCACGGACCACGTATTAATTCCCTGTTCATGATCTGGCTTTTTTTGATGCAACAAGTGCATTGCGCAAGGAATTCGCTTTAGAGCTTTCTGTACGCGAGAGATTGACTCCCGGGGCATTCATCAGCCTTCCATTTTGCCCAATGCCCAGCGGTTCAGACTGCCAAGGCCAAGCGAGACACTCGATATGGATGGCGCCGATGCGGTGATGGCGAGAGGTAAGGAGAAGCTCCTATTTTGGCTGCAGATTTGGAGGAACGAAGAGCTAATGTGACAACTGTTCTTCTTGGTTAGACGCCTGGGCGTCAATTCCATCGAGCCTGCTCCATGCCGAACTCCAACGACGACGGGACCAGGGCGAGAGACCGCAGTGCGGCGGGCACAACTCGGGATGGTATGACACGGCTGCGCATGTCTTTGCGCTGCTCCTCATTCTCGTCCTGAGCACAATCGGTAAGGCTATTCACAAGATGGCTCGATAAGGGGGTTAAAGAGGAGTTTTGCTAATTCAGGGCTTTGCGCCATAGGTTGCGGCTTTCCGCTGCTATCCCGGAGAGCGACGACGGGGCATCGACAAAAGACAATCATATTCTACTGCCAGCATATCGGCACCGGCGTGCTTCTCGCCACGGCATTTGTGCACCTGCTGCCGACCGCCTTCTCATCCCTGACCGACCCATGCCTGCCGTACTTCTTCAGCCAGGGATACACTCCTTTCCCAGGGCTCATTGCCATGGTCTCCGCCATTGTCGTTGTGGGAGTCGAATCATGGCTGACCGCTCGGGGCGCAGGCCACTCACATTCGCATGCGCACGACTTCTGGGACGAGAACGACGAGGCTGAAGGGGATGCGCAAGAGTTGCACATGGCCGGCGAGGGCTTGTCTAGCAGGCGCTCGCATGTAACGGGACGACGACCGGCAAACATCTCACTCGACCACTTGGAGGCAGCAGAAGGGCTCATTGCAGGCGCCTCGCCCTTGCCTGAGTCGAGCCCCGCGTTGCAGCGGCGAAGGTCTACAGACGATGACGACCGAGAATCGGACCTGGACCTGGACCTGGCGGAACTCGATCCCGCCCCTCCCGGTGGGAGCGCTCAGAACGGTGCTTATTCTTCGCTTGCCAAGCCCAACACCCGACGTGGAGGCGAGACCTCAGATGGGAACCAGATACAGTCTCCTGAAGAGCAGAAACGTCGGATGCTGCAGTGCCTGTTGTTGGAGGCCGGCATCTTGTTCCACAGTGTGTTCATAGGAATGGCCATCTCTGTGGCTACCGGCCCGGCCTTTGTCGTCTTCTTAGTCGCTATCAGCTTCCACCAGTCGTTTGAAGGCATGGCCCTGGGCAGCCGCATCGCAGCTATACAGTTCCCCAAGGGATCCATCCGCCCCTGGCTCATGGTCCTCGCCTACGGAACCACGACGCCCATCGGCCAGGCAATCGGCCTCGTCCTGCAGAGGAAATGGGACCCGAGCAGCGCCACGGGCCTCGTGGTCGTGGGCGTCACAAACGCCATCTCGTCGGGCCTGCTGCTCTACGCGGGCCTTGTGCAGCTGCTGGCCGAGGACTTCTTGACGGAGAAGAGCTACCGCATTCTGAAGGGCAAGAAGCGCGCCCAGGCCTACTTTTCCGTCGTGGCTGGCGCTGCGCTCATGGCAGCCGTAGGAGCGTTTGCTTAGCCCTACCTTGGCCAGTGTCTTTGTGTCATTTGTGTGTGTGTATGTTTGCCCAAAAAGAGGATTCGCATCTCGCGTTGATATAGTCTACATTCTTTCTTTCTTCCCCCTTGATTGAATTCATCTATTTTATGAGCTGCCGTTTGGCGTTGGTAGGTTAGGGCGGCCAACTTTTATAGACATGGAACTTTTGTTTTAAGCATGTAGCATGTAGCATCTACTCTTTAGATACGAGGGCTTTGTCGGAGTTTTGCGAGCAAAATATATGGCATGTGTGTTCATTCACCTTGAGTCTGGTCATGCCTGATGAGGTTGTGTCAATGTAGATTCCGCAGTGAATTACGATTGTTCCTTTTGAATGTTCCATTGATCAAGTCTTTGTTTCAATGCTCGATGAACCAGGAACATAGCAGATATGATAAAAAGCCAATATGTAGGTCCCATTCACATGGCTGGAGCGTGGTTCAACGTACCATAGAAACGGCCCGAGAAACGAGGTTCAATAAGGGCTCTTCGAGATGCTCCATTTTATGGGGAGTAGCAAGTAATAAATACCCAGTTCTTCAAGTATCTGCTACTATTACCATTCTCTGCTACTATAGCTATACTTGACTAGTATTTACTATTATAGCCACATTTCTACTATGGCTACGTTTTTCTAGTATCCGCTATTACTTACGACACGTGGATACTGGATGGCAAAATAGGGGTGCTGAATACCTAGTAGGCAATCCCATTGTATAGCGGAGGTAGACATTTCATGGAGAATTAAAACACAAAAATGGGGCGAGGCCGCTCTTTTGGCTTTTCATCACGGAGGCTTGATATCCGTGTAGTGATGGAGCTTGACAGTCGTCTTTGGCATGAACAAAACACACAAAGACATTACAGTATATCCTTCACCCCTTTCTCTCATCTGTATAGCATCATCGTTCACACACGTTCAAAGCTTCGACACTCAGATGAACAAGCCAATGAAGATGAGTATAAAAGGAAGATGCTACCGTGATTTAGAGCCTCGTCCCTTGGAAACCTTCTCTGATAAGCTGCTGTGCACCGGAAAAACCTTAAGGGAAAGTGGCATATATAGAACTTCTACCTATCCAGTGGCTTTTTTTTTCCCCCAAGGAGAGAGAGATTTATATTCTAAGATACCAGCTGACCTGCAAAGCCGTTTCTTATATTAAAGGACGCTGAGATGGGTTCATGTTTTTCTGCCCCTGAGCCTTCGCCGCGGCGACGGCGGAAGCATACACGATCGTAAGTATCACCTAAGAGGAATAATAATTGTTTAATACTTACTCTAGCTGTAATATGAATATTTGTGCTAAGAATTTCTAGTCGTCCCAGGTGTGTCCCAGGTGTTCAATATGACTTCTACTATTCCACTCGAGATGGCGAAACGGTCTTGGTTCGGGAACCGATTGAGCAGCCTCAACCCAGGTGCAACCCTCGATGCCCCGAACATTGCGAGACCACGACGGTTTCTGTTTCAATGAATGTGAGTCCTCCAACTGAATCTCGAGATAGGCCCCGCGAGGACGCAGAGCATAAGAGAAGAAGTCTCAACATGAAGAAGAAGAGGTCGAGTCGCAACAAATCGAGTCGCCACAAAAAGAAGAAGAGAAGCCATCACCGAAGCAGCAGACGGGGCAGCCGCCAGTGTAAGCAATCACTTATCCTCCATCCCAATGTAATTCCGAAGCGAGGGAAAGAAAGACAGCTAACGATATCTCGCCCAAAGATACTGAAACCGAGGCCACCAGTGGTTGGACTGCAGACGACGACGACAACCGCTACCAGGTTGCGCTTTGGATCGGCGAGTCCTCCCGGACACGCGGCGGCACAAACTCTCCACAAGAAGGCGGCTCTGGTGCCCGCGAGGCTGCGGTAGAGGAGGATAATGTTTCTTCTCCCGGTGAAGAGGACGGTGACGAGACTCCGGCTCCAGGGAGCTCCAAGAAGCCGCAGAGTACTAAATAGACTTAACTGCCTAGTTAAACCTATTTCGAATCGGTGATCAGCTGGTTCAAGGGTCAGAATGAGATTTAATAAATGTTTTATAGCCAATGATTGATTCCACCAACAACGAAAGCTTGGCCCCTTATTCGCTCCAAGAGCTGAACAAAGTCGGCAATACAATTGTATCTGCTGTGCCTTTGTGCGAGTGTACCATGAATCAGATGAAAAGACACAATCGGTGAAAGGAGCAAAAGATGCGGATTTGGCACAAATTGATGCAGATTCCTGTCAATAAAGCGTCACCAGGCCATGACAGCTGCCAGCGTTGGAGTGGTACAAGTGGCCGTTGTTTGTCCTGCCTTTGCTTGCTCGCCTGCCGAACCACCAGTTTTTTCTTCTTTTTCTTGTTTCTTTTTCCTTTGCAAAGAGAGATACGAGACGTTTCTTCATCTCAACGTTTTGCAAAGATCTTCATCTTACTCCAAAAGCCTCGCATTCAGAGATCTGCGCCTCGTTCATCACCACCCCCTGGTTTCCAAAATGGGCTGCTGCTTTTCCAGTCAAGCATCGAGTGCCGCATCTCACGGCGAGAACCAACGGCCTGTTACTCCTCCACAGCAGTAAGCTTAACTGATAGCCTTTGTCTCAGCCCTTTTTCGGCAGCTTTTGCGAACGCTAACCGTGATAGAATCTCACATGAACAAGGAGACACCACCTTGCCGGAAGCTATCGTTGCGACAACACCAATCGCTGCCCCCATCGCGATATCAGGAGTTGAGCAAGGGGCCGCCATTATCGACGCCATCACTCCAAACGAAGCAGGCCCAAGTTCATCAGAGTCTCGGCGTTCAGAATCGTCGGCTTCACGGCACATTATTCTCGAGCCAACGGTTTACGTCCCTCCATCGCGGACAAACGACGTTGCGGAACTTGACGTGACGCCTATCCAATCTGCTGAGTCTGGCGATAATCATGTGAAGAATACATCTTCGTCAAGTTCCAGCTCAAGCTCGAGTTCAGGGTCTGGTCGCGGCTCAGGTTCTAAATCGAGCCAGTGAGAGCAGTGACTATAACTATGGAAGGCAAAAGGTGTATTGGATGCGTGTAGTTTCAGAATATCTGATCCAGAATATCTGAGAGGTTCATGGTGGTTGTGCGTAGAGGGAAAAGGGAGGCATAGTCTGCCTCACAATCAGCCTTTTCTTTCTTCTCAATGGATGGTTGTACGAGGCGTTGGAGACATGTCGGTGTCATGGTCAAGCCTCTGTCTAAGGCAGTGAGGTTGGACAGTCAACGGTTTGGTGTGCTTTGGTAGTAGTTGGTAACGGATAAATTGACATTTCAGCCGTTGGATGTTCCCGTTGTTTGTAACCATCTTTTCACGCACAAACTGCATATGTCAAAGGAATCCTGGGTTCATACAAGTGTTGGGCAATACAAAGGAACAAGATCAAAAGAAGCGGTAGAGAAATATTGTACTACTATAAGGTACCTCCAATTAAGTGACTACCTTAAACGGGATGGAATGTAAACAGACGGCATCTAGAAAGTAAATAGAAGCCTGTCATATGCAACTGCAACCTCGTTTTTTTATTTACAGAAACTCGTGATGTGCTCCTTCCGCCAAGCCAGCCACTTCTCTTTCATCTGGCCACTTTTCGGAAAACTTGCTCAAACGCTCTCAAACACATCAAAGCATTGGACCAACAGAAATTTTCTCTTTCTCGCTCCATCTCTGCCCTAGAGCATCAATTCCCTCCCGCCACAATGAACATTCAGGCGGCAGCTGCCGAGCAGATTAAGCAGCTGGAGGTAGCACCTCTAGCCTTCAGCGCTTCCTTACAGTTGCTCCAGTTGCCTTTTCGCTCTGAATCTGTGCATCAGCTGCCCCTATTCATGCTGTGCTCCCACGATAAGCGATTGAGGTGATCAATGCGCTGGCCCTATAAATACCACTTCTCCAGCCAGCCTGCGGTGCCTGTTTGTTTCAGCATCATCCATCATCTGTTTTGGTGGTTTCGAGGCCAACTTTCAGGTTCAACGCCCTCTCTCTCGTCTTCATCATACGAAAGCTTCTTCTTCTTCTTCTTCTTCCTCCCTTGGACGATACGCAGCTCATCGAGCCTGAAGCAGTCATGGATATGGACATGGGCATGTCGTCTACCACCACGGCCGCCAGCGCCACTCCCACCGGCGGCATGGATCACGACATGGGAATGGGAATGGGACCGGCAGGCATGTGCAAGATCTCTGTAAGAAACTTCCTAAAAAACTGCAAGTATGCGGCAACAAGAGCTGACTCTCCGTCATAGATGCTTTGGAACTGGAACGTCATGGACACCTGCTTCATTTCCAAGAGCTGGCAAATCACGTCCAAGGGCATGTTTGCGGGTTCCTGCATCGGCGTTGTCCTCCTCGTTATCGCCCTGGAGTTTCTCCGTCGCCTGTCCAAGGAATATGACCGCCTCCTGATCAAGCAGCACGTCGCCAAGTTTCGGGACGCTTCAGCTCCTGCCGTGGTCGCAGCCCCAGCCGCAAACACGGCCGTCAAGGCGGGCGGCGAGTCGGTCAACAGTCAGGATGTAACTCGAGCCGCCGGTAATGCCATGCCACCCTTCCGCCCAAACGTGCTCCAGCAGGCCGCACGTGCGTTACTGCACATGGTTCAGTTTGCCATTGCATACTTTGTCATGTTGTTGGCCATGTACTACAACGGGTACTTCATCATCTGCATCTTCATCGGTGCCTATATTGGCGCTTTTGTCTTCCAATGGGAGACTCTGACTGTCGTGTAAGCCAGCCATGCCAGCCATGAAGGCATAGCAAACTCACGGCTTGTTTTGTATGTGTACTGACCTGTCGGCAGCTCTGATAATACTAGTGCTGCAAACAACCCTACCGTCTGTTGCGGTTAAGGGGTGGATTGCTGCATTCCCATGCGCCGACTTGGACGACAAGCAACAAGGGACGCATCTAGCGGGCATGGCATGGTATGTTTGTGGAAAATGGCTATGGTAAATCAGGGAGGGCAACGCTAGTTTGGCAAAATGTAATAGACATCATTCCAGCATACACCGTAGACGTGTAGCTAAAGGGTTAGGAAAAATACACCAATGGAAACATTAATGCATGAAATGGGCTGCTTTCATTTGTGAGACGAAATCTGGTGGTGAGAACCTCTTTGAAGATGGAGCGTATTCGGTATACAATAGTTGTTCTAAGGGCAAACTGTATAACCATAGGACTGCCTTGGCATCTGGCTTTCCAAGTATCTGCTACCGTTACTGTTATTACTTTGTTCTAGTGGACAGTATTATCAGGTACTAATTCTATAGTAGTACCCATTTACTGATGTCATCTTCACTTGGTTCGAATGCTTGTCACTAATGGTATGGAGTTCTTACATCTGCTCCATGCTATGGCAACAACCTTTTCGCAATACCCACCCATTAAGTTGTCACCATCTGCTATTATTGCTGCTGCTTCTAGTATCTGCCGATATTACTACTATTATCAAATGAAGCTGGGATACCATATCCTGGCCAGTGTTTCATTTGTTGATGTCTTCAAGCTACGTCTACCGGGTATCCCACCACCCACCTCATCCCACAACTCACTGTGTTAAACTTAACACTTCACGACAAATTGCACTGTGCGGACCCCCCTTTAAACACAGACAAAATCACCTCACCTCAGCCTTACCTTGACTTGCTTGACTTCAGCCTGTCAGACTGGCTTATTAATCGGATGTTGACGCCGCAATTCCGGACTTGTTTCTGCGTGATATCTCCGTAGCGCCACTTGTAGCAGCCCCTGCAGCAAATTAGCACCAGACTACAGCACTCGCCTCATCTGTCTAGTGGATGGCCCTCGCTAGCACCGGCTACCGCAGCTTCTGTACGAATGCTAGAAGCTGGGGAGTACTAACGCTCCAGCCTGCCTGCTCGTATTAACATTAGGTACCCCCCGTATTGTCTGCATTAGTAAACTCCCGTCTTCATCCAACTACCATTGATCCTATCCTGACCAGCATCGACGATATCGCAACAAATCGCAGCAATTGCAATTCTCGATCCCAGGGTGACTAATCGCAAACAGTCCACGGCCAAGAGGGCGCAATTGCTCTGCGCAGCATGTCCTCCATCAAGCATCTGCTGTCGTCCAAGGTGCGGTCGCAATCCGGCTGCTACACCTGTAGGCTGCGTCGCAAGAAGTGCGATGAGCGTCGCCCCGAGTGTTCGGGATGCGCCGCCCTGGAAATCACATGTCATTTCGGCGACATCAAGCCCGACTGGATGGATGGCGGGCCCAAGCAGAAGGAGATGGCCGAGTTTGTCAAGGCCCAGGTCAAGAAGCAGGCCAGCCAGCGGCGAGACCGCAAGTACCTCGACATGCTGGAGTCGGGCACCCGCAAGGTGAGCCTCAGCGACGACCCCAAGACGGATGTCGAGCGAGGCTATTCCGCGTCGGCGCCGTCCACAAAGGAGTCGCCCAATAGCCACGGCTCCGGTAGTACTGCTGCCACGTCGCCGCCGGAGATGCCATGGCATAGCCAGGCCTTCATGGGCAACTCCGACGACCAGGCGGAATTCGACCGGTCCGCCGACATTCACTACGCGTGCATGTATCTGGACTACGTCTTTCCGCATCTGTTCCCTCACTATCGCCCTCACATCCTGGTGGGTGGCCGCGGCTGGGTGCTGGATGCGCTGCAGTCCAACAACAAGTCGCTCTACCACATCACCGTGTCTCTGGCATCGTACTATTTCGCCCTGATCCTCAACAATGGAGAGCCGGAACATGAGGAATGCATGAATAAGATGAACCAGAACCTGCAGAGCCAAATGGAGCTGGGCCTGCGCGAGCTGCAGAGGGAGGTCAGCTCGCTGCACAGCCGTAAAATGGACCCGCGCGAGGGCTTGGTCGTCATGGAGAGCATCATCCAGCTGCTCATCTTTGAAGTCGCCATGGGCAACCGTGAAAACTGGAAGCTCCATCTCGATGCTGCCATTGCGCTATTCCGCCAGATCCTCCCGAGCGCCGATGGCTGGGAGGAAATGCTACATGGCCTCGTCAACCATCGCTGGCCACCGCTAGAAATGGGCATGAAGCGGCCCTGGAGCACCAGCCAAGCCGCCTGCAGATTCTTTACGGCCAACCTGCTCTACATTGATGTGATGTCGAGCGTCTCTCTTGGATGCCCCCCTCGGCTGTACAACTATCAAAACACAATCATACCCTCGTGTAAGACGACGGAATGGAGCCCCTGCACCATGGGAGAAGGACCTCTCCGCATGGAAGAGTTTCGTGGGCTGCACAACTGGGTTCTCCAGGTTATTGGCGATATAGCGTCTCTTCACTCATGGAAGAAAGCGCAGAGCTTAGCCGGCTCTTTATCCATCAATGAGCTATTGAATCGTGGAACGATACTCTTAGACGCCATCAAGGGGGGGATCATGGCCATCCAAACAACATGCCCGCCACCCGACACGGTTGCCACCGTCATCTCGGTACCAGTCCTCGGTGAGCAGCCATCATACGCGATGCACAACACCATCTGGCTCAACGCAGCCTTGATCTACCTCAACACAGTCCTCGCCGGTTGGCAACCCTCATGCCCGGAAATCAGTACTGCCGTGGCCAACACCACCGAAATGCTGTTTAACCTACCAAGAGGAACCTGTCTAGGAGCACTGGCTTGGCCTCTTTGCGTGGCCGGCTGTCTAGCACCCCCAGAGGATGAAGCCAAATACAGGAGCATAGTAGCCCGGCTCGGTGGGCTGCAGCTATTTGGTTCACTCAGGGAAGGCATGTGCATCATGGAGCGGGTCTGGGCCCAGCGACCTCTGGACGAGAGCTGGGACGTTGCCCAGTGCATGAACATTCTGGGGCATGGAGTTGTGTTGCTATGATACCCTTCCTGACAGTCCGGCGGTGCCTTTTTTCTCGACGGCTGCGTGGCCACCAAGGCTTGTTTTTTTAATCACGTTACTGCTTGGTTTTGCATGTGCCATGTTTGTATATTCCATATATGAGAATCTATCGGTGAACTTAATTTCCAACTACCGAATACATGTATTAAGAGGTTTTTCATTTGATTTTCCTTTTTTCCCCGCCAAGGTGGCAATTGCCCAATGCAAAACATGTGCTGATTCTGATCCACACGCTGGGTGTGTGCTGTATAACCAAACCACCCCTTTTCCAGACATTAAGTTTTAATTTTATTATATGCAGTCGAACCAGAGAAAAACTCTATCCAGATTTCCCTCCTACCAACGTCTGTCTCTTCTCCATTAATCCCAAGTCCCACCAGCCGCTTATGTGCTGCAGAAGCGTCTTGCGCTTCGTTTTGCTCGTCGCCGACATGGGACTCGCGAGAGGCACATTGAGATGAGACGACGGGGGAGACGGAGGCATTGGTGGAACTGGTGGAACCGGCGACCTTTGAGTGATGTAGGCGGCCGGCAGTGGTGGTAGCGGCGGCATCTCCTCAACAGGATGCCTGACTCTACGCTTCGTCTTTTTCGCTGCCGCGGGAGGCGGGGGGAAGTAAGGATGGCGGTCGTTGTTGAACAGCGGGACGGGGACGTTCATGTCGAGGTCCTCGTCGCCGTCATACAGTGACCGCCCGTCCTGGTGCTGTGTCCTCGACATGGCCATTGTCCCAAGGCTGCGGGCCTTGTGCAGGACATTTGGCGTCGGAGGCACCCCCGAGAAGCCATCTTCGCGGCAGCCGTACCCTCATTCGAGGTCCATCGGCTTGCGGCTTGCCGGACGGTCTGCGCCTCCCTTGACGCGCTTCCACAGGCAGATTGCGGCGACGGCGGACATGAAGAAGAGGATGGAGGTTGCGATGGACAGGCCCCAGATGGCCTTGATTTCATAGCACGACGTCTTGCTGGGATCGACCCATTCGAATGTATTGGATGAAGAGTGCTTGACGTTGGCGAAGAGCGAGTAGATGAAGTTGCCTGTGTTGCCCTTTTTGGGGAACGCGCTGCAGTTGAGGTAGCTCACGGGCCTGCCGAGGACACAGGCTACGATGATGGAGGCGATGAAGCAGAGGGTGTCTGCTGCGGTGGCGACGAGGAGGGGGAGCATGTGATCCCAGTAGAGGATGTAGCTGATGAGGATGTATACCGTAGCCAGACAGGCCTGCGTATCACGGTTGGGTTAGCTGGCTATTCAAGATCCCCTAATAGAGAAATATATGCGAAAAAGAAACAACTCACAACAACCAGTGTGCCAACCAGGGCAGAAGGGGTAGAGAAATCACTCGAGACCAGCTCCGCAACAAAGTTGCTCGTGAGGCCAATGATGGAGACGAGCGAAACTGCCTGCAGAAGCCTCATCGTGGTGAACATTGCGCCCAGCGCGCCAAAGGCCGGCGGAGAGCCCATCTTGGCGGGAAGTGTTTTGAGTGAGAGCTTGGGGCGTGTGGTATTGACGGTCTTGAGGGGGAGATGCTTTGAGTATTGGGGGATGGGAGATGGGGGTTTGGTGAAGGGCTGAATTTTGGCGGGTTCGACCGATGACGGTCGAGGTAACGAGAGTAGATATATATTGGATTCGTGTGTGGGTTTCTTGAGATGAGATTTGAAATGAGATGTTTGAGAAATAAGCACGAGATGATAAAGAAAGTCGTTAATTCTTTGATGTAGGACGTGAGCCTGTTCAGTTCATAAGACACAATGAATGAGAAACAATGACAAGGAGAGATGGACAATAAGGAAATAAGGGAAAACAAATAAAGAAAAAGAAAGAACTAAGGAAAGGGAAAGTTTGGGATGGTCTCGTAGGATGAAAGAAGAGAAGTCCAATCGAGGACTCAAGCAACTCTTTTATAAACCACATCTACTACTGCACGCACACCATCGCGATCAGGATCAGATCGGGGGGCCACGAACAGGCGCGGCCAAGCGAGACGAAATAGCCGCGCCATGTTTCAGGTCCCGACAATCATCCCATATTCACGCCTCAAAAGAAACCAAAAACACAAGCAAAACCACAAGAAAAGAGGATCATACCGAGCGTGGCATGTTTTTTTTTTTTAAGCGCCGGCATGGATCCCCGGCAGCCGGAGGATCGCGCCCCACATACCCGACGATTGGCCCGGAGCGCTCCGTCAGCCCCCCTTGTCCAAGATGTTCCAAGATTTCGCAAGTGAGGCTCGGCTTGGTTTCAAACAAAAAAAAAGAGAGGCGGTTACATGATGGGCCGCATGGTTTTTTCCTTGGACCGGAGATATTTTTTGAAAATAGAAAACAAGCGGGAAAATAGCCAGCCAACCAAGTGGAGGACAGAAAACCGAGACCGAGAAGCGTTGAATGATATACCTGTTCTTCAAGTATCTGCTACTATAGCTATATTCCTTTAATAGCTGCTACTACATCTATATTCCTTTAATAGCTGCTACTATATCTATGTTCTTCTAGTAACTGTTGGTATAGTTATATATTTCCAGTATTATCTAGTTTACGGTCTCGCTTTTTCTGACCTCCACTTGCCAACGCACTCTTCGTCGGCAAGGTGGCCCGGATTTCCACGGTGTAAGAAGGTGTGTCTAGGTGAAACACGAATGGCGAGACTATGCGCCGAGCAAAAACCTGTTTTTCTTTTAGTTTTTACGTCGGTGTACTATTTGTGTGTGTGTTCTTTGGCATTCACGGCTGGGATTCCCCCTATTTGGTTGCTTCCACCCGGTGTTTCTTCGTGAATTCATCAACATGCGCGCCCTTAACGCCTATCTAAGATCCCAACATGGCAAAATGCTGCATCCTCATCGCTCGCATTTTATGGCCTTGAACCCTATATGTACTTTTTGATACAGATGTTCCAGCCACTACAGTTATTATTTTAGACCCCTTCCTATCATCTTTGCCCAACGCAACCACACCTACACACACATACACACACACACACTCTCTCTCTGCCTCTCTACTTTAATGGATCTCCTTATCCAAGTAAATCTCCAGAGGCGGAGCCAGAGCCCCCTTGTGGAGCCGCAGGTGCAGGCGCTCCCCAGATGCCGGCACTGCTCTTCTCCTTGGCCAATTGGCCCAGCGCTGGGCCGGCCGTGGGAGTGCTGGGCTTTTTGATGCCGACACTGGCCTTGCCCCAGAGAGCACCAAAGGCGTCGCCGCCGCCAGCAGCAGCAGCTTTGCCGTTGGACTTGCTGGCGGGCTGCAGACCGGAAGTCGGCGTCATGGATGAGACTGAACCCCCTGTCGCCTGAGCCTGGACAGTGCCAAAGTAGTTTGGTCCTGTGGGCTGGTAGCCAGTGGACTTGGCGGGCTGCATTGGCGCACTGAACGCCGAGGCAGCAGCAGGCGTCGGGTTGGTGCTGCTGGCTGGGGAGATGGAAGCGATGTTGACCATCTGGCTGATGCCGGCCTGCTGAGGAGCCGACAGCGGCTTGGGGGCAGCGAATTGAGTGCTGGAGTAGTTGGGTGAGGTGGGGGAGAGAGGCTGCGAGAAGCCCGCTGAGATTGGCGATAGAGGCTGGGCCGCTGGCGCTGAGGGTGCTGCTGCCGGTGCCGCCGATTGGAAGTCGTCAAACTCATCATCGTCGTCGTTGGCGGCCGTGTTGGCGCTGGTAAAGTTGCCAAAGCCAGAGCTGCTTGGTGCGGCTACAGGAGCAGCCTGAGCAGGCTCATCAAATGAGAAGAGGTCGACCTCAGGCTCCTTCTGCTTGGGAGGCGGCGCTGTTGCTTTCTTGGCCGGGGAGCGCTCTGAAGCCCGTGGGGGCCGAGAGCTGGCGGCGGGCCGCTCGCCCTCGTCAAACTCATCGTACTCCTCGAATCTCTCTGACCGGTTCTGGGTATCGCGGAAGTCGCTTGCCTGGCCACCGAAGCCGCCGCCATCGCCATATACGCCGCCGGAATAGCCTCCGTATTCTGTAGGGCCGCCGCCACCCCCGCCATAGCTGGACTCGTTGCCGAAGCCGCCAAAGCGACCGCTGCTGCCGCTTGAGAAGCCGCCGCTTGAGAAACCGCCGCCCATGCCTCCCTCCACGCCGGTATACTTGTTCTTCGTTACTCGGGCCTTTTTGCGCTCTGAGCGGATGCGATCCACGTCGCCCAAGAGCTCGGCGAGTTCCTTGGCTCGGTTTCGAACGTTGATGCCTTGGTCCTTTCCATTCTGGTCAATGAAGTGAAACTGACGCAGCATCTTCAGGAGAGTAATGTGTCCACGCGCATCGTCAATGACGCGCTCCGACCCATGCTTGATGAGGAACTCGAGCAGCTGCAGACTCTTGTAGATTTGGCGCCACTCCTCGGCGGCCTTTTCCGTGAATCGCCGGTAGATCATGGGCATAATCTCATTAAGCTGTTGGCTACATGGGAGTTAGCCTCGTGTCACCTCGTGCCAGGAACAAAAGAACAAAAGAACAAAACCCCGCGTATCCGAAGGGCAGTGCGTGCGTACTAGTTGAATGTGCCATTGGCAATCTCCTGCATCAGGGTCGACGAAGCTCCCCAGGGCTCGTTGTTTGTTGCCTCTCGCACCTGACGCGCCACATGTTAGCAAACATCCCGAGATTCACTCATTTGCCACGGCCGCCGCCATTGAGATTGGCATTGGCATTGGCATTGTCAGAGCGCACCTTTGCCTCCATCTCCGTGTAGTTCATGACGGCTAGTGTCCGCTCGCGTTAGCATCAATCGGCCTCCTGGGAATTGCTTCCTGGGCAAGCGAAGACGGCGTACCATTTTGCGCCTTCCGAAACCCGGCCTTGAGATCATACAAGGTCAGGTTCGACACGGTGTTCTTCAAGTCGTTGAAATCCATTTTGGGCGAGAATCGATGCGGCGACGATGGCGAGGAGAAGTTGCAAGTCGGGATTCAAGAGCCAAACCGGGTGACGAGACTCTGGCAATTTCCACGGTGTCGCCGAGCCTGAACAACTGGACACAAGCGCTTTGGGGGGAGTCTCCACTGGAACTGACAGTGGCTAAGACGTAAAGAGAGACGCTACAGTCACGTGATGTGAAGCGGACATTATGAGGCACCGAGTATTCAACTTATACTGTGGCAGCAGTGGAAGAAAGCATTGTCCATAGCACCTTAGACGAGATGTGAAGTTGAAGCTTACAGCATCGTAGTGAGTAGATACGAAGTACATGGATTAGATTTTTTTGCAGGATTCGCTTAACATGTACCCTGTCCATCCAGCTCTATCTGTGCTCGTGTTTGCTTTTTTTTTTTTTTTTCCTTTGATCGATTCGATGGGCATTTCCCCTTCTGACAAATAACCGCCCGCTTCACCGACTTTGGCATTTGCTGGCTAACATCCCTCTATGTACTCTTACTAACCCAACGCCAGCTCTCTCTACGTACTACAACGTGTAACCTGAGACTTCAGGCCAGAATACCAGCGCAGGGGTACGGCCACTTCGTACCTCACCTACTGACATCACCCAAAACTTTTCATTTTCCTGCGAGCTATCCCATCAACCCCGGTCTCCAAGTTGCCTCCTGCTGCATAGATTCACTGCCCATTGTAAACATTGTTTTTGGCCTCAAGCTCAAGGTATGCTGCACCCGTTTCATTGCTGTCAGTTTTCCTTTTGTGTTTTGTGCTTGGTGCTTTGAGGCGCACCCAGCAGCACCAGGGCTCTCTCAACCAAAAAAAAAAAAGCTGTCGGATGCAACAAAGCCTCGACAACCAGCCAATTGCCACCGCCCAGCAAATCGCACCGCTCGCCTCGGCCTTTGAACCGGGTTTTTTGCCAATCAGTTGAAAATTCCAAACAGCCAGTTTTCCTTTGAGCATGGACCAAATGATAGGCGGAGCAGCTCCGCCCGTGCGAATGGGTTGGAAGGGCTCCCTGGCTGGCCGTCCAATCAGCGCCGCCGTCTGCCCACAGCCCACCTGCCGCTCGGCGCACACCAAGTCACGTCAGCTCGCTGGCCATCGGAAGCCAACGGTCCAATTGAGCAGGATTCCGGCGCGAGGGAAAAAAGCAAATCCGGGCGCTGCTTGACCGGCTGCACCTCCAGGGAGAGCCTGGCGGTGATGCTGCTGTGGCGGATGGCAATGGCTCATGGCAATGGCTGGGCAATTGGCTGTGAAAGAAGCTCCGAATCGGGCTTTGAAAAGCTCTCAAGAGCTCACAAAGCAAGCTCAGTCAGCTACCTCACATTTGCCGCGACGTCAAGCTCCTGCCGCGTACCCTGGCAAGACCTGGACGCCTCCACGTGACTGGCTCCTCTCGTCGCACCCCACCCGTCGCCCTTGTCTCAGCCCGCTGATTGGCCACGGCCCGTTACTAACGTTACCCCTCCAGTCACGTTCAAAATGAGATCAGCTTTCTTCCAACCCCTCCTACCCCGCCATAACTTCTGCTCCCCGGCCTTAAGAACTTTCTCCCTCCCTCAACGCATTGCTGCTACGAACAACTTTGCGACTCCTCGATTCTATTCACAGCCCGCCAAAATGCCTAACACCAAGGTGTAAGTTTCGTGTCAGCTCCTCTGCCATTGCCGCTCTCCTCTGATGCCTTGAATCTAGTTTCTTCGACATTGCCTGGAAGGGCCCCGTCTTCAAGGACGGCCGTCCTACCACCGAGATCAAGGGTGAGTCTGAGTCCAATTCTGCCCGAAAGCGCCAATTCACCGGCGGTCTCTATTGGGAATCCCGATAGAGAGAGAATTGAGCTTGACCGATGGTCTGCTCCTTTTTTCCCTCTGCCCTGGAGCTTGTGCTCTGGCACCCACTCACACCCTGCCGGTCTGATTGGACCAGCGGATACTGCTGGCCCCCCCTTCTCCAAATTATCACCTCATCCGCTTGTAGCTACCTTGTGAAGCTTGGTATTAATGCGTCTTTGGATAACAGAGCAGACCGGTCGCATCAACTTCAACCTCTTTGACGACGTTGTCCCCAAGACCGCTGAGAACTTCCGTGCTCTCTGCACCGGCGAGAAGGGCTTCGGCTACCAGGGCTCTTCTTTCCACCGAATCATCCCCAACTTCATGCTCCAGGGTGGTGACTTCACCCGCGGTAACGTATGGCCGCCTCTGCCAGCACAATTGCAAGCCGTTCGTTGACTGACACCACTCCTAGGGCACTGGCGGCAAGTCCATCTACGGCGAGAAGTTTGCCGATGAGAACTTCCAGCTGAAGCACGACCGCCCCGGTCTGCTGTCCATGGCCAACGCCGGCCCCAACACGTAAGTTGATCCGGGATACGTCATCAAAATACCCAGCACAGCATCTAACTCTGTATCAAAACAGCAACGGCTCTCAGTTCTTCATCACCACTGTCGTCACCTCCTGGTTGAACGGCCGCCACGTCGTCTTCGGCGAGGTCGCTGACCAGGAGTCCATGGCCATTGTTGCTGCTCTCGAGGCTACCGGTCGTGATGACGGCAAGGTTAAGTACGAGCCTCGCCCCACCATCACCGCCTCCGGTGTCCTGTAAACTTGTTGAAAGGAAGCAACATGCTCTGCATGTCCATTTGGTGGCAGTTTTTGGGACCATGAAAATTTATGGGGCGGATCATAAGAGGCTACGAATGGTACCTCGCCATATCCTTTAGCCAGTCATTTAGGGTGCTGCAAAGCATTAAAAAAATACAAGTTTTCCATTGCATCGAACAAATCCATTGTGGATATGAAGGTTCCACGTCGTCCCCGTGCTGGAAGTATGCTATTTCATATCTACGAATAGCCAATTGTAAATGATGTAAAGAACGGTTTTCAAAGACATGTGAAATGACGTCGTCTTAGCCTTGAGCCTCAATTAGAGTGAGTATTCCTACGTTCAATCTTGTGCAATAGATAGCTTGCCTACTACATGCATGATGTACCTCCCCCGTTATACGCCGAGTGCCCAAGTGTACCTGGATGTAGAAACAAAGCAGTATATACATTCCCAATGAATACAAGGGGGATATCCTTATTCCAAAAACCGAAAAAGAGAAGAAGAAATCAAGAAAGAGAAAATAAAACTCCAAGTGATGCAAAGTTTGATATCACGACATAGGACCTCGCTGGGCGCCTCCTTTAGAAAATCTCCTTCCCTAGCCACTTTTTGAAATACTCGCAGTTGCTGGGTCCCACGGGGCCGCCCTCCTCGCAGAGATCAAAGACGGGGCACCGGCCGCAGGGGGCCTCGGTCAGCGGGCTGATGTACAGCTCGGGGCCTCCGCTGCGGCCGGAGGGGTCTTCGCGGCCGGCCCAGCTCTCGACGGACTGCTTGGCGATGCGGGACACGCGGTAGCCGACCTTGCCGGCGACCTTGATGGGCTCGACGAGGTTGTCCCAGACGAGCACGTCGACGAGCTTCTTGACGTCACCCTCGGACAGGATAGTGTTATTAGTGATGCCGCTGGAGGAGAGAAGGCGGGCGATGTCGCGGACGGTCGGGTAGGCCATGTAGCCGGCTGGTAATGGAAGCAGGGCGGGTTCTCTGCGGGATGCTGCGGCCGTTGATGATGAGACGGCGAGCGGGTTCTTGGCTGCTGTTGTGGGAGCGACGGGCTTTGCCTCCATCTCGGTGGCATCGCGCTTCTTGCCCTTTGCCGCTGCATCGCTCAGGCCGCCCTTGATGATGCCCTTCTTGGGCACCTGCGCGTGCCCGTGGGCGGCCTTTGCAGCCCCAGCGTGCGTGCTGTGGTAGCTGCTCTGCCGCTTGATAAAATCAAAAACGACGCGCTGCAGGTCCTCGATGAAGGCCTCGTCGAGGTCCTGGTCGGTGTACCAGGGCCCCCCCGTGGCGCGGTCGCTGGGCCGGATGGACGCCTTGATGTACATCTTCTTGTTGGGGTGCTCGACGTTCTTGAAGGGCGCGATGAGGCCCTTTGCCTGCAGCTGCTTGATTGCGTTCTTGAGGACCGAGTCGTGCATGTTGAGGCGCTTCTGCAGGGTCTGCGTCCATATGCCGTCGCCGCCGGAGTCGTCGATGAGCGAGTACACCATGACTTGCTCGTCTGTGGTGCACTGCTTGTATCTACGAAAAAGAGACCCTCACGTTAGCCATTGGGCAAATCAAAAGCCTTGATTCTCCTTCTTGAAAACTCACTTGTGTGCCTCCTGCTTGTCGCGCCACTTCCACAGCACCTGGCCCGACGCCTCCCTCATGGTGATGAAGAGCTTGTCGTCGCTGAGCGACTGCACGACCCGCGCTAGCAGCAGCAGGTCGCGGTTCGGAATCACCTCCATGCGCAGCAGGTCGTCCTGCGAGAACATGTCGCCCTCTTCCCGGCACCGCTCGTACAGCAGCTCCTTGAGCACCGCCAGCTTCGCAGAGTCGGCATCGCTGCTGCCATTGGACCTCGAGGGCCCGGCGCCGGCGGCCGAGGTCGACATGGTGGACGGGAAAGAAAAGCCTGCGTGAGGCGGAAAAGTGTTGGTCGAGACGGTCCTCGGCTTGAATGCTGTTGTTGCAAGTGAAAGTGTGAAGAAGCCGCGGATGGTTATCAAGTGATGGAGATTTCTGAGTCACCCGGTGTCCCTCTCGGTGAGGCGGTGGTTGATGACTGTGTTGGCGCTACATTGACATTGGAAGTGATTTGATGGTAGAGCCTCGCTCTCTCTGTCTTTTCTTATCTAGTCGGGGCGATAGGTCAACATTAGGTAGGAAATGGTATCGTGGTGGGACACGAGCTTCGATTTTGGTTTAATTTTTTTTTCTTTTGCCATCACCAAAAAGCCTGGTGGGTACCTTGCAGCCGGCTTGCATGCCGGGAGAATTTCGGTGGCTGCTCAATATGTACATGTACTGGTGGGGGCGGGGCGACGATCGCGAGGCAGAGGGTACAAGGTACATTTGCCACGGCTTAGAGATGTTCAATTAATAGACATTTTTAGTATTGAATAAACTGTGATACTATTCTACTGTACGCTCTTGATATAGACTCCGTGTGTAAATCAGAAAAAGAAAACAGATGAACCAACTGAAAGTTAGAAAGAGACACTGACAGATGGCTCAAGCTCTCATGGCCATCTGTCGTTTGGCCTGTCAGTATCCCTCACGCCGGAAACGCCTCCCTCGCCCCGATTCCCATTGTCCTACAATGTGATTTGCATCAATCGAACTGGAGTAGAGATACTCCGTATAAACCAAATCGCTGGTATGCCCTTTCCCCCCTATGCGTCTTTCATGCTGGTACAGACTCAGGCGGGGGGTGTGCTGGCTTTCTTTGGCTCCTCTTCATCCTTTTCTTGGTCAACTTCCATGGCGTCGGTGGCCTCCGCCTCCTTCTCCTTGGCATCGGAAGATGGCTCGGGGGATTTCTTCTCTGGCTCGGCCTCAGAAGGCTTTTCCGCTTCCTGAACAACTGCTTCTTCAGCAGGCTCGGCAGTGTCAGCAGGTTCAGCAGGCTCGGTGGGAGGAGCAGGGGCAGCGGTCGTTTCTGATTCCTCTGTCGTCTTCTCCTCCACCATGGGGCTCTTGCTGGGGACTCGCTCCGGCGCCGGTTCAGGCTCAACATCCTCCTTCTTGATGGTCATCTCTTCTTTAGGCTCCGAGTCAGCCATGCCAACATCTCCATCCTCATCCACCTTGGCCTCTTCCTTTTCTTTCTCGGCTTCCTTTTCTTCTTCACCTTCCTTCTCGGTCTCCTTTTCCTTTTCGGGTTCCTTAGACTTTGCCTTCTTATCAACATACGCCTTCTCCTGCTCGCCTGCAGCAAAGTCTTCGATGGTGTCATCGTTGATATCCTGAGAATCCTCTGCAGCTGGGCCTTCGGTAGCACCGCCATTTGTAGAAGCGTCAGCAGCAACGGCAGGGGAAGCGCGCGCGCTGTTGTCCTCATTTTCTCCCTTGCGGAAATCTGTATAGCTTCTCTTGTTGCCATTCCGAGGAGTCACTCCATTTTCGGCAGCCAGGTCTTCATCATCACTGGGCTCGAATTCGTTCTCGTGTTGGATACGCTTGTCGAAGCGATGCTCAGTCATTCGGACGTCTTTGTTTTCGTCCTCATCAAGGTCGTCCAGCTCGGCTTCCTCTTCATCAGTCATGCCACCAAACTTACGGGGAACATCTTGCATCTGGACTGATGGGGCGGGGCCGGTCTGGCGGAGATTATCAATGACGGCAGCGGTAATCTTCTCCAGGTACTCCCTGCTGTTGGAGTTTTCCATGTTGGATGCTCTAACATTAAGTTCAAAATCGGGAGCATAATACTGGTCGTTTTGTTAGCTTACAAAATCACGAGAAAAGTGGTAAACAGTGCCTGTTGGGACATACTTCGTAATACTCATTATATGGTAGGGCCCGGTCCATCTCTTGGCCAACCAGGACACCGGTCTCAAATGCCCAGGTGCGAGCCACATTGCGCATGGTGTAGCCACCACCGCCGAGGACCAATGTGGGCAGGTTGAAGCTCTTGACGAAGTTGACGCAGTTAGCGTGTCCGTCCATGCTCAGGTTGAAGGCGCCCAAACGATCGCCGGAAAGACTGTCACCGCCACACTGCAGGACAACAGCCTCTGGCTGGAAGTACTTCATGACATTCTCAATGACAGGTTCGAAGATGGACTTGTACGACTCGTCGGTGATGCCGTCGCGGAGAGGGAAATTGACGGCGTAGTTCTTGCCCTGGCCGATTCCAATGTCACGCAGCTCGCCGGTACCCGGGAAATATTCGCCGTATTTGTGAAATGACACGGTCATGACACGGTCGGTAGTGTAGAAAGCCTCTTCGACGCCGTCACCGTGGTGAACGTCAATGTCAACGTAGAGCACGCGCTTCATAAATCGAAGAAGTTCGAGGATTCCGAGAACAATGTCTGTAGTCAGTCAGTCAGCTTGGGTATGCTCATGGTGGCGACCGTAGTAGACAAAACGCACCATTGACGTAGCAGAAACCACTGGCTTCGCACTTCTTGGCGTGATGCAGGCCGCCAGCCCAGTTGATGGCAATGTCGCATTTTTGTCGGTTGAGACGCGCTGCGCCCTCCATACTGCCGCCGGCACTGATGCCGCAAAATTCGAAAAGGCCGTCAAACACGGGGCAATCATCTCCGACATTGTATTTGCCCTGCTCTCTCATATAGCTATCCATGTTGTCAGGGGTGACCTTTTGGAGGAAGTCGATGTAATCGTCGGTATGGAACTGGGTCATTTCGCCGCGGGTGGCCGGTTTGGCGCGCTGTTTGCCATGTTAGCCAACATCTCACGACAAATTTGATAGACCAAAGACGGCGGATGAAAGAAAAGGAAAGGGGACAAGAGTGTTGCGTCACATACGTAAATCTCCATCTTCTGGTAGAGGCCGTACTGCATAATCAGACTGTGGGCCAATCGAATGCGATGAGGCTTCATGGGGTGGCCGGTGACATAGGCGTAGTTTCCAATATCAGAATCGTAAAAGTAGGCGACTTTCTTCGGCGATGACCCGTTGAGGGCCACCGAGCCGAGTCCCGCCATGTTGCTGTCACCCATTTGAAAAAGCTGCAAGAATGCAAGGAGCTGTCTGTAAGAGATCGAGTGGCGTCGGTCGGTAGAATTGTGATTGATGCCGGTTTGATAGGATAAGAAAAATTAGAAACTAGATGAAGCGGCAGTGCGATTGATGTTTTGTCAAAGGCACCTCCGCATGGTTTGTGTTGCTGAGGAAGAAAGTGAGAGAAAGCTGAGCTGAGTTGACCGTAAATGGTAGCCGGCGAAAGTTGTAAGGGAAGCGCGGCAGCCAAAAGCAAGGCCGGTACTGAGTGCGCAGAGACGCGGATAAACGTTGCGGCGACAAGGCTGTAAGTTTTATCAATGTTTGTCATCTAGTAGCGGCTTCGGATTGGCCCAGCAGAAAGATACTAAGCTGCATCATACAGTTTGTACGGGCTCCGCATGTACTCCACACCAATCGCAAGATGCCGGGACTCGCAGCGGCGATTCACGTGATGGCATTATTCAGCAATCGACCCTGGTAGCAGGCTGCCGAACAACTGCGTCAACTTGGATATCAGCAGCTAGCTACTAAGTCAAGGCCTGGGCTCCCTACCTACCTAGCAGCCTCCAAACATCAAGCTTTGAACAACGCAACACACCTGCTGCTGCACCGCCGCGACATTTTTCATTTCAATTTCTCTCCACTTCTCTCTATACACATTTTCAATTCCCATCACCTTAGACCATGGAGCGCTTCAGGAACTTGTTGGGCGGAGGTGGCATGGGCTTGGGAGGAGTTACGCCTGGCACAGTAAGCTTTCCTTTATCCGTCATTACACTGCTCGAAGCTCTCGCATCCCCGGTGGGCTTTGGTAAATTGAGCAACCGAGATGGATCTGAAAGGATAGAGAGGGAAGAAGAAGAAAACAGGTGGCTAATGAGGCATGTTACAGGACAACACCAGCCTAATTGATAACTCGGAAACCGTCTACATCTCATCCTTGGCCCTGCTGAAAATGCTCCGGCACGGCCGCGCCGGTGTGCCGATGGAAGTCATGGGCCTGATGCTGGGCGAGTTCGTCGACGATTTCACAGTCAAGGTCATGGACGTGTTTGCCATGCCACAGAGCGGTACAGGCGTTAGTGTCGAGGCTGTCGACCCTGTGTTCCAGACCAAGATGATGGATATGTTGAGACAAACTGGAAGGTAGGCCGACATCCGGCAAGCGGAGGTGTTGCAACAGTTGTGGCTAACAAAGGTGGACAGACCGGAATCAGTCGTCGGATGGTACCATTCTCACCCTGGCTTTGGCTGCTGGCTGTCATCGGTTGATATCAACACCCAGCAATCGTTTGAGCAACTGAACCCGCGTGCGGTGGCAGTAGTCGTCGACCCCATTCAGTCGGTCAAGGGCAAGGTTGTGATTGATGCTTTCCGACTCATCAACCCCCAACTTCTGATGATGGGCCAAGAACCCCGTCAGAGCACGAGCAACCTCGGCCACCTCAACAAGCCGTCCATCCAGGCGCTGATCCACGGACTTAACCGACACTACTACTCGATTGCGATCAACTACCGCAAGACGGCGCTGGAAGAGAACATGCTGATGAACCTCCACAAGCACGTGTGGACAGAAGCTCTGGAGATGGACGACTTCCGGACGGAGGGACAGAAGAACAAGGAGCGGCTGCAGAGGCTGGTCAGCCTGGCAGATGGCTACGAGAAGAGAGTCAAGGAGGAGACGGAGCTGACTAAGGAGCAGCTCAAGACCCGCTACGTTGGCAAGCTGGATCCCAAGAAGCACTTGGAGGACGTTGGTCAAGAGCTGATCGAAGACAACATCGTGTCGGTGTCAAGGCAGATGATTGACAAGGAGGCGACAATGCCCAAGAAGAATGGAGCTCTAGGGGTGGCTGCCCAATCCAACGGCGATCAGATGGAGACGGAGGAAGAGTTATAGACGAGTAGCAAAGCAAG